GAAGCCATCGAGCTGATCAACAGCAACGAATACGGCAACGGTGTCGCCATCTTTACTCGCAGCGGTCCCACCGCGGAGACCTTCAGGAGACGCATTGAGGCTGGACAGGTCGGTATCAATGTGCCGATCCCGGTGCCTCTGCCCATGTTTAGCTTCACGGGCAACAAGAAGAGTATTGCGGGGGGAGGAGCAAGTACGTTTTATGGAAAGCCGGGAGTCAACTTTTATACGCAGCTTAAGACGGTGACGGCGCATTGGGCGGCGCAGGACGCGATTGGACAGAAGGCGGATGTGGCTATGCCTACGCATTCGTAGCGGTATACTATATGTGTGCGTGTATAGTAGAGATAGGTAATGAATTGTGAAATAGTGAATTGGCAGGCAATCTTGTTTTTGGATTCCTAATTACGTTCGTTCGTTCGTTTTTTTTTTTTTTTTGTTTTTCTTTCGTATTGGTTGGGGAGGAGGGGTATTTACCTATCTGTGGAAGTTTAATGTTTGGTATTTGTCTGTCTGTCTGTCTGTATCTGTTTACTCTCTGCCTGGCAAACATAATACAACAACCATAACCACTACTATACGACATGATATGATTTACCACTACAGAGTACACAGACAGTACTTGGCAATGCAATATGATGATTTCCACCACTCGGCTTAATAATGTACCACACAGATTGTACCAAAACTACCTACCCTAGAAGACTGTTAAACAGTATATATATTATGCACTTACTTGGCAGTTCTACTTCACTTGTTGTGAGTCCATGTATGTACAAAGGGTAATTTATCTACTGCCCCCTGCCTAGAGGTAGCTGGTAATCAGGAACATACATATATACATAGAATAAAAAACAGGGTAGATGACGTTAGTAACACATTAAGGAGAAACATGTTTCTACTACATCTTCAATCAACTAACTGCTCAGCCGCTCAGCCGCTTGGCTCTTCCGACTTCTACTTGAGACTGCCCTTGGCTTATGATATATAGAAACGAAAGTACGTACGTACACTGACTGACTAGGTCTAACTAGGTAGCTGTATAGGTACCCTATGGTAGCGGTAGCGTGTATTTCTTACTTTAATAGGTAGGTAGGTAATGGTAGGTAATGGTAGATATTATGAGAAGACATGTTATAGTGGTAATGTGGTAAGTTAGTTGAGTGTCAACAGGGTGCAAGGCAGATCGGATTAAGGACAAGATGATTGATTGCATAATCATGCATTGCATTATAGACATTTTGAAGCATATAGGTAGGTCCGGTATTTGTGTAAAAAGATTAATGTTTGTTTGGTATCACTTCATCTCATACCCTTCCTCCTTACCCCTACGCTGCCAACCCCTACCGACACTGCTAAAAGAGAGAAAAGCATACACAAAGACAAAACAAGATATCAGCGGCTGGGAGAGTACCTAGGTAAGAAAAAGGGGAGCCATATCATATTATGTCAGGTCCAAAGATAACTACTACTACCACTCGCTACTCTCCATCTGCTGCTACTGGGGGATATCCATCGTGTTCTTCCTTCCTAATAATCAAGAGGTGCTGAGCCCACCCACCTCATCCAAAAATATAGATACTGCCTGAAGAAAAAAAAAAAAAAAAAGAACCATCATACAATAACCAACAAACGAAGAGAAGCAAACACTCAAAACCAAATCTCAACCATCATAGAATTAAATCCCCGGCTTCGAAAACCCATCAGTATTAGGCCAATTGCCTAACCCGGCCGGATCCCCTCCAATCCTCACATACACACCCACAGCCGGCACTCCTCCATCCAGCACAAAGAACTGATACCATCCGGGCGGCGCAGTATGCGCATTAGGCGGCGCGTCCACAGTGCAAGACGTGCCCGTGCATTGCACGTTGGGCATGATGGTCCTGGCGCCCATCGAGTTGCCGTGGGTGCTGGATACCGATCCCAAAAGAGTGACGGTGATGGCGCCGTTACGGGCGGCAGCGCCGAGGGTGAAGGGAATGGTCTTTTGGTTCCAGTCCCAGTCTCTGTTTGCGAGAGTAAATGTGGGCCGCGGCTTGCCGTTGAGGAGATAAGGCGGGACGAACACCTCGACGCGGTACTCTTCGGGGTTGACGGCATCCTGGGGGTCGGAGCCGGAGATCATGACGCGCCCGTCGAGAAGCGTGATGGCTTCGGAGTGGTACATGCGCGCAATGGTGGTGTTGGCCATGACTGTGATGCGGGAGCCAACGGGCTTTGTAGGGTCGTAGAGCAGAGCGTTCAGGTTCGGGTTGTTCGCGAGGCCAAAGCCAGCGACACCGTGGTGGGCGCCGTTGGCGATCAGGTAAGTCCCGTCCGGCAAGGGAGCCATGCATGGCATGACGCGGAAGGATGGCATGCGCTCAATGACCCATGTCGGGTTGGCGTCGTCGGGACGGGTGGACACGCAGTTGTCGAGGGCGTAGCCGGGGCCCACGTTGGAACCGCCGCAGATGAGGACGCCAAGGTTCTCGGAGTATGGGTAGCGCTGCGGGAGCAAGACGGCGGCGCCTTCCAAGGGGTAGGTGCGCCCGGATGTGGGGTCATTGACGGCGCCGGGGACCTTGGGCAGTACTTTGATGGTGGCAAAGGTCTTCTCGTCTAGGATTCTGGCTTCGTTCCAGTATTGGACAAAGATGCCACCGCTGGGCAGCACTGCGACAAAGGGATAGAGGTTATTGGGATCGGTGCGTTCAAGCCATTCCATGAAGAGTGGTTTGGTTCCGGTATAGGGCAAGACCTCAATGGAAGGGACGGCGGCAGCGTTTGAGCCAGTCTCGCCTCCAATCACAAAGATAGAGCCGTTGGCCATGACCATGGCGCTGGGATACCAGCGACCCGCTTGCAAGCTCAGCTCGTTGACGTTTTCTTCCCAGTCATGACCAGGCCAGTACAGACGAGTGCCGTAGGTAGAGTCTCCAGACCAACCCCCCACTGTCAGCTGGCGGCCTACCTTGTCGGGCAAGGTTACACCACCAGCACAGAACACATCAGTCTTGAGATGAAGTTCACGGAAGGCCGCATTGGTACCGATCTTGGACAGATCGAGCTCATATGCACCCGTTTCGTTGGCAGGTCCAGTTCCCCATTTGGAAAGGAAGCTGATTTTGCCTTCGATAGTTTCGGACGTCATCAGTGGAACGGTAACGCCGTTGACGAGTAGTTCATATTTGCCGGCCCTATAATCCTGGGGGAAGTCCCACGAGTAAAAGGGTGTTCCTGTCCAGAAGTAGGTTGTGAGGCGGCTACCACCACCGCAAATGGACGATGTCTCACCGGGACAGACAATGTTGCACTCCGATTCGGGGCGTTTGGTGGCACCGGATGTCCCAATGTTGGCCGGATCACCGCAGTAGCACTCTTGTCCGTATTCGAGACCAGCAGCCATGTATCCGTATTCGGCACATCGATCGAGGCACATCTTGGGCGTCATGACATTGGGGAACTCGGATTGCCAGAAGAATGTGCGTTGGTTGTTGAGGTTGTCTTCATAGCAGCCATTGTAGGCCCAGTCACCCACCGTCTCTTTCGGAGCTGGAGGAAGGTCCACTTGGGGTTCACCACGGGAAACAATGGTGAGTCTATCACCTGCGCCGCACTTTTGGCTTGCGTCTCCTGGACAATTGACGCTGCACTGGCTGTCGTCAACCTTCGCTCCACTGTTAAAGAGCGAGTTTCCGCAGAAGCACTGAACGCCATATTCGGTCCCGGAGATGGTGTATCCCTGTGAGGCGCAATACGTGGCACAGACAACCTGAGAATTAGTCTGGCTGTCGGGTGCCTGGTGGTTGAGGAGACGGCCAGTGGTTCCCTCAGTCCAGCAGCCTTGAGGAGCCCAACCTTCGGGGAGACCGGTGGGTTGGGGAATTGCAGACGAAACGGTGGAGCTAGGAGCGACTGTCGTGCTCGGGGGTTCGGTGCCATTTTTGGCATAGACAGACAGTCGGTTTCCAGCGCCGCAATACTCTGTGGATTTACCAGCGCAAGTCATGCTGCAGTCAGAGTCGGGTGCGGCCACAGACCCAGCATTGAGGCTGTTGCCACAGTAGCATTCACGGGCATACTCTACACCAAAGAAGGTGTAGGCAGCACAAAAGGCGCTACAGGCCTCGAGTGTCATCTCATCTGACGCCGTGGTAGCAGCGCTCAAAGCGCGGTTGCCAGTGGCCTCGGTGCGGCATCCGTACCAGTCGTAATTTCCAACGGACGCCGGCTGAGCAGGGTCTTGGGGTTCGGGAACGGCTGAAGATGTAATGGCAATGATGCCGGAGACGGTCGAAGTTGGCGGGAGATCACCCTTGATGTAGATATTGAGGCGATTACCACCGCCACAGAACTCGGTGCTGTTGCCGTTGCAAAGCGTGGTGCATCCGCTGGTCGCAGGGGCACCGCCATTCGAGATGCGATTACCGCAGTCTTCTAAAGTCAGCATGGGCTCCCTTTCAAGTGGTTTCGAGGGAACTTACAGCATTCACCGCCATATTCCACACCCGCGTACTTGTAAGCGGAAGCATCACAGGCGGCCGTGCACTTGTCCACCGTCATATTCGCGCCTGGGATGGTACCAACAACGAAGGTAAGTGTTCTGCCGGTTGTCCCTTCCGAGTAGCAACCAAGAAGAGAATAGCCATTGACACCAGGGTTTGCCTGAGGCCCAACCGCGGCAGAGCTGTGGAAAATGGACAGTTTCGAGGGGCCTCCGCACGGCTCTGTTGCGTTTCCTCTGCAAGCCATGTTGCATTGTGAATCTTCGAGCTTTTGAGCAGTGGTGGCAATGCTCTCACCACAATAACACTCTTGTGCGTATTGGGTTCCGGCATACTGGAAGCCTCTTGCGGTACAAAAGGAGATACAAGCCTCATTGGTCATGTCCTCGCCGTCTGCATAAGTGGCCGCGCCAATGGTTCGGTCGACCTCGGTATAACAACCATCGTATTCCCAAACGCCTGGAAGATTGGTGGGGATGACGAGTTGGGAAAGTGTAAGTGGTAGCTGGGCGCATAGTTAGCTATGGATCATGAGAGCGAAGCACCTGTCAAGAATGAGGCTTACTGAAGACAGAAGAAGAGAGGTCAAGACGGCCCCTGCTTGAATTGCCCTCATGATGGAAAAGTGTTATGTCCTATGGCGGACACCAGTACGACAGCGAATTCAAGAGAAGGGGATATCGAAAAAGAAGGAAGCATTACCGACGAAGGAGACCATGATAGCTATATATCTTCCATGGCCAGGTAACACCATGGCTGACATCTGTAGGCGAAGCTGAGTTATGAGAATAAGAAATGGCAATACGAAGTACCAGTGACTTTTTTTTTTTTTTTTTTTTTTTTTTTTTTTTTTTTTTCGAATCTTTGGTTGCAACAAGTCAACGGGAGAGTAACAGACACCCTTGCCACGCTTCTTGGTGGTTGCCGGTAAGCGAAAAGCCAAGTTCTTGGTGGGAGGTGTGGGTGCCGGATGGGGGATGTTGTTCTGGTGCTGCCATGTGAGCACAGTGAGAGAGAGGGTGTGCCAGTGTGGTGCCGACCATCTCATCGTACCAGAAAATGTGAGCTGCTGATGGACGATATTGCACAGCCCATATTGCTTGCATGTCATGGAGCTGGGGGAAGGGAGGGGATCCCGGCAGGGGTATATGGATGAGGGTAGCATCGTGTTGGGCCAGCCTTGGGAAAAACTTCGATATTCTACAAGGGGAAATATTTGTGAGCAGCTAAGTATCCCAAATGGCCAACATGGGTTGCGATAAGACCGTGATATTTGTGCTATTTGACAATGGTGCACCTGGTGACCCCTAGACTAGTGCTGTCAATAGACCGATCTTGCTGTTGGAAAAGCAAGAGGGAAAAGGAGCTGGCGTAGGTGGTGTAGCCGGCACCATGGGAGCAGCCGGTGGGTGTAGCGAACACGGCATGATCCGTATAAGTAAGGTAAGCCCAGGCAAGGTACATGAACTCGCGGCGGTGTAGTGGAAACCAGGCAGTGGGTGAGACTGATTCCGAACCTACACGACAGGAAAAGCGCATGGCCGCCATGCTGTATCACCACACTTGCGGCCATTGGTAAACCGTATAGGCAAGGCCCAACTCGTTGTAAGTGGTCATAATGGCAGCCTGCTGCTGTGAACGAGGCAACGGCTGCACCAACAACCTGGAGGCGCCATTGTTCCGTCTCCAACTCTTGAGAGAGAGAAAACTCATGGCAGGGTCGGGTCAATCTCGGTTGGCCGGTCGAGCTTTGATGCAGTAGACTCGGATTTCGGTAACAGTTGATGTGGAGATTAACTGCAGCAGAGTGGTCGAGGCCTACTTGTCAACTCGTATCACCCCGGTTGAGATGTAGTATAGGAGTGAGGTGAGATGAGTGTGGTGAGTGAGCGAGGTACTGCCTCTACAGTATGTATGCATTGGGAAAGGAAAGGGTAGCTAGGTAAGGTAGCATCAGGACATCTGGAAAGACATGGCCGGGTCAGCCTTTCCGGAGTGCCACCGCAAGCCACACGAGGCCGTCTGGGATGACTGACCAATGCCCACATTCCCCGCATCGGGATGGCTAACTGTGGTGCCGTGAGTATGGAAACACAGTGGTCCTTGTGGTTTTCTGGCCTTGTGTCGTCTTTGTAAAGCCGAAAAGTTTCTCGTGGCGTAGAGGTGCTGATTGATCATGAGTCTGGTGATGTTGACGAATGTGAAGATGTGAGGTTCGTGATGGTTGGTCGGCGTGAGGCTCTCGACGCGGACTCATTGTGAAGCCTGCCTGCCTAGTCTATTGTCTTGGTTGTCTTGGATATTTCCAATTCAGGAAGCAGAAAAGAGGAGGGCTTCATGCCCTATGCGTGAGACTCCGACCTGTGACGGAAGCTCTTGCCCATTGACTGATCGGTCCAGAAGCGTTTGCGCTTGCCCAAAGTGTCTGTCTTCATTCCTTCACACCGTCGCTCTCCCATCAAGACAAGGAAGGTACCGGGTACCTTGCAGATGCAGGGCAGCCGTGTCTCCTCCAATCTTGAGAGTTCTCACTGCACTTCCATGTGCCTTTCCGGACTTCGATTTTCGTCGAGTTTTCGTCCATGATCAAGACTGGAGACTGAGTGTTTGGAACATCAGCCCATGACGCACTGAGTGTGATAAAGAGGGCATTGGCGCAGCGTCATCATCTCACTCTTAGTTCGCCGTCGGTTGTTGGTCGTCCTGGTTCCTGATGGCATCCATCCTCCTCCTCGAGATGGAGTCACCGAGCAAAGGCGTGTCGCCAGTTCCTTTCAATATGTGACTGACTGACTGACTATTGTTTCCGGAAAGAGCTGAAGACCATCAAAAAGGTTTGGCGTCTATCAAGCGAGCCCGCGATGAAACCCGCCTCGGACCGGAGCACTCCGCGGGCCTCACCGAGAAGATACGCGGGATCATGGATGTTTCTGCCACACACACCCTCCTGTCACAGTGTCGGATGTGTCTTGGTCAGACAGACTTGACCAAAATGGCGTCGCTGGGTGGTCACGGCATCTTGGGGTTAGGGTTGTCCGAGTAGTGTAGGGCATTCCTTTCGTCTCCACAATGTGTGAAGTGGAGGGATTCGATTTTCGAAGGCCCAAGTATCAAGGTACTTATTTACCTCGAGCTTCCACTTTCCTCTCTTTCTTTTGTCTTGATCCTGCCAAATGTGATAACTGTGCTACCTACAGCTCGGCTCGGCTGACGACCCTCCTCTTCTTCCAATTTCGCAGAATAATGATACCCCAAAGCGCAACCCAAACTCAGCCCATCGTGGAAATGGAACGCGGGGTCCATCAGCGACTCCCAAAGACACAGGCGGCTCGAGCTGGCTGTTCGGATAACCCCGCCATCACCAACTGACTGACGACTGAGACAGTCTTGCGCCGGGCAACCTTCAGCTCAATTGTTGACACCTCGCTTTTGATCACCTCTAGGGGGAGAAGCGCACTCAAGGCTCCAGAGAGGGAAGACTCTTCAATGTCAGCCTCGGTGGTTCTCAAGAAGTCCGAACTGTCATCAGGGCCCTTCTCATCCCCAGAAACTGACGCCGCAAGAGAATCACCTGCAAGATCTCGGGTAATCAATCGCATACGATTCGCATTTTCCCCCGCCCATAAGGCGGTCAAGTCAACATGTCCATCACGAGGGCCAGCCCTGCAGACTCACCATCTTGTCCTTGTCCACGGCTCAGCACCGCCAAAAAAGCAAGGTGAAATCTCCGGGGTGAGATTCAGGAGCCAATGATTTCCCTTGCTCATCCACTGTCCCTAATTTTGGTCAAAACCCGTTCAAGCCACCCTTTGCGGGACAAGAGGCCCATCAATACACCGTCTCGAACCTTGGACTTGGGATCGTGAACGACATGCCATCATCCAAGATGAGAGTTGGGCGTCGGCCGTCCAAGTGTAACCCACACCTTCCTTTATCACATCCAGTATTCCTTATCAAGACCTAACAACCATCATACCCCCCCCCCCCCCCCCCCCCAAAACGTCCTTCCCTGACATGATCTGACACTAACGAATGGGTCTGAACACTCAAAGGGTTGAGTAAACCACTCTTCGAAGATGTCTACACAGTATACACTAACAGCCCGTCCGAGTCAGTCCTTGTACCACAGATTCTTTGACCGCAACCCATAAACAATCCTCCAAGTCGGAGTTACCTTACCATTAGGTCACCCAGAGACCAATCATAACACTCTAATGTCAACTCCAATGCCTTATCATCAAGCAACACTTTACATACACAGTGGTCTTACCATTCAAGTGTGCCCTATCCCTTTTCGGATGCCTATATCAGGAAGTCCATCAGTCATCCCGGGCATGCGTTGTTGCCCGGAAAACTCGTATCCGGCAACGGCACTCTCCCTGATGACATATGCAAGGCATAATGCACACTGGTCACAACTACATAGGTATACCTACGCTTGATGTTGGAAGGCTGAATCTGGCAGCTTGGTGGCAGATGTATTCCAGTTTATTGTCCCCGCGCGATTTTACTCGGGATTTTCCGTTTCGACGCTGTATCGGGGTATGACCTGACTCCGTGCAAGAATTCCTTATTTTGCCGACCGGCCGACTGAGTGTACGAGTGTACGAAGACGTCCCTGAAGAGCGTATGCAGTCCTTCCAGACACTGGGTCGGCATCGCGGTCAGCAGGGTGTATGCAAGGCTTCATCGGATTTATACCGTCTGAATATTTTCAATAATTTCCTGTTTTGCATCCTGCTGTTACTGCTATCCTACCTTCCTACGCACACATGGCTCGATTCCATGCCTAATATCCTGAAAATCGCATGGCTTTGCAGTTTCGGATATTCTCCTTGATTCGGTCTGGCGCTGATGTTCTTGGCGGTCAATTCATCTGCCACCACGTGAGAAATTACAATGCCTGGATGCAAATGTTTCTAATTCAGCTTCTTGACCTAGCAGCATGGGCATGTTCTCCTTCAGTTCAGCCGCATCGACCAACCTACCTTGAGCTATCACATTGAACACCCACCCCCGCATGAGACGGGTAGCCTTGAGATTATGTTCACCGAGGAGCTGGGTCACCTCGGCGGCAATGTCAACCACGGTCTGGGTTGTAGATGCTCGCGGGGAACGTACCGTGGTTCTGTTGCCAGTGCGGAGTTCGGCAGGTCTGGCCAACGTCAGCTGCGCAAGCCCTGTCAGCCCTGGAACCCCCGTTAAACGATAAGACCTTTCAATTCATTGTATAAGCTGCCCAGTACTCTGGAATGGCTTTCGATTTCGGTCGGTGTGCAAGAAATGCTTGACTCACCTCAAACAGCGGTTGCTACATGGCTCAAGACTGTCTCGGCATCCAGTTACGACATATCCTAGCACGATCCAGCAATAAGAAAGGAGTGAATTTGCCACCAAGCCCCTTATTCCTTTCCCCGGAACGCCAACGCAAGCCTCCCATTGCTTTTTGGGAGGAGGCTTGCTGTTGTGGCGTCTTCTGGAGTCTGATCATAGACTACTGCAAACATTTATGCCGGTACACCGCGATGAGATGCAGGAACGACATTGATTCTAATATCTTGCCCCTGACTAGTCAAGGCGGCTAAAAGTCTAATAGTGTTCGAGTCGTCACCTGCGTCAAACTATCGAGGGCTATCGCAATCTTGTCAAGGGCGTCAATGCAGCGTCATGTCGTTCAACGGTGATGCTGAGCGCTAGTGGCAGACTAACGACTATACGCAGTAGCAAGATGAACGACTGCTCTTACGGCGAATCAACAGAGAAACCACGGCACCCCCCTCTTTAATGTCAATGGTTACACAGTTCCTTGGATGAGGGATTGACCAATGCTTATTGCCACGAGCTGAGCGCAAAATATCTTATCGACAGTGTCTTTTGCTGCGTATGAGTCAGCGTTGCATTGCGCTGCAAGCGGTAAGAGAATACGGGATTGATCGGTTCAAGCTGACATGTTGGTTTACCAGTGACCTCTTGATTGCATTTTTCAATGTTGTTTTATGACTCTGCGCATCCGTACAATATCCGGATGGAGTGTAAACCTGAGGCCTAGCAACGTGGGGAAGAATGTCACAGTGACAATGGATTTCAAAGTTGTCGATTAGGATCAATAGTTTGTTTGTGTTTTACCTCATGGAAATGATCAAGGCTAATCTTTGGAGCAGGATGCAGATTGGATGAAACACCAGACTGTTCAAGATTTCAAGACTCTGCCATTGTTAATGTTGGAGCTCAAAGAAGCAAAGGGAGGCATCACACAGCTCAGCTGTTCGCCGCAATCACATCAAGGCAGACATATTGGCTGATCCTCTCACTTTCGTGAAGGTCTGCTTTGATTGTCTCTTTAAGCACGTCGCTTCGAGACACTTGGAGGAACACTTCCACATCGCGCAACGTGCTAGAACGCCAGAGGCAAGTGCCAAAAGAATCATCAAGGCCGAAGCAATGTCGACCAACTGCCAAGCAGAAACAGAAAAGCACTTTACCTGATACCCAAGCTATCCGCGACGAACACTTTTTTGTGATATGGATTCCATCAATGGTCTGGGACAAGTCCTCTTTCTCCTCGGATGCTGCCGACCTGCTCTGCACTTGGGTCGAATGATGCAAACACTCAAGGTATGATGAAGACAAGAAGTCTGAGCCCAGATCTCATCGCGATCATCTGAATCACAGCTGAACGGGGCAATCACAGCTGAACGCCGACTGAGAGCAGCCCAGACTCTTCAGTAATGTCCACAGGCAAAACACACCCAGACCATTCACCAGCAGTACATCCGCCAGTAGGTTGCAGGTATCGTTCTTCCTCGCGTCCTGAGCCCCTCCCGAAAAAGGAACCCAAGAGCACAATGAAAAAAAAGGTGTGATGTAGGCCGGTCAGACTTCCATCGAAACCCACCCCGCCCAAGCGCCCGAAGGCAGACCTTGAGAAACCGGGGTACAGATCATCGCCACTCTCTATACAATCATGCAGTAAAGCAAAATCGCCACCTTTGCAGGCAGAGCGAGAGTAAATTAAAGGGACCTCACTGTTGGGAAACGAGGATATAGTTCATCAACCCGGGTGGGATCTGTGGCTCCTTTAGGGAACACAAAAGAGGACAAATACTATAGAAATGATTCTCCTGTAGAGCGCAGAGTGGTTAGCAAGTATGTCCAAAATGTGGATCCCAATAGTAGGGGTAAACTCACTGAAGTATTGTCGACATGAAGAAAAAAAAAGAGAAAAAAGAAACCCAAAAAGGTGGGAGAGAGGAGAGTATTTTATACCCCTCCGAAGAGATCCTGGTGGTCTGTGCACGTGTGAAATTTTTTGGGGGTGGGTGGGTGTCCACTTTGACGGACGGAGGTAAAGACGGGAACTTTTCCGGTACTGTATTTTTTTTTTTTTTTCAATTCCATTCACCAAGCTCCGTGAGTAGTGTACGTACCGTGACCCGCTCCCCTCGGCCCGTTCCGTCTTTTGGGTCCACTCCGTCTCCTCCGCTCTGCTCCGCTCCGCTGGGTGACCGGCACCGGCACCGGCACCGGCTACGATGAAGAGCCAACGAAGGAAGGACTTGACATTGTTGAACCAGATGTCTCGAGAACTAACTTCTCGCTGTTACACGTGTTAGCGTTAGCTATGTAAATTTAGACTATAATTTCAAGTGTCCCGAAATGGTTATGTAGAGGTAGGTAGAGGTATCATGGCTCTCCTTCTGTAGAGTGCCGGGATCAACTGCGATGTGCATGGAGTACCTCGTTTGATGAATCTGTATTGGCATAAGACAAAGCGGACAGTTTGCGATTGCGTTTTGGCGCCGTTGAAGTCGGCGAAAGTATCACTACCGAGGGAGTAAGAGAAAGGACTAGTCGATGTTATGGTTTCGACGGAGCCGGAAAGTTCATCTTCCACTCCGTGTCGTAATATTTTGGCATTGAACGTTGATGTCCTCCTATATGATCACCATCAGTTTCATTACTCGTCATTTCTCTCACTAGCAGTAGAACAGAAACTCCGTTTCAACCCCTTCCATGTTATACCTACGCTTCCAAGTACACATTGACCACCTCACTGGAACCACGACTACCGGTAGCCTTAACTCTAGCCGACTCTGGTGATCGATCAGGCGATGCAGGCAACGCAAGTCAAGTATCCATCACCTTCTCTTCCTCTTCCTTAGCCTCTTCTCACAATTCCTACATTTCCAGCAATCCCCAGCTTCAAACACCCCATTACCATTACCATGCGTAACACCCCAATGCTGATGCCACGGAGGTCTTTTTTTTGTCGGTTTCGGTGGGAGTCTCCATGGCTGTGGGAGTGTCAGTCTCCATCCGTCCGATGGGATCCAACTTCGAATTAGAGAGTAGAGGTACCCAGAATCTGTAACAATAGAAAGGGAAAACCACGTCTCAGTACTAATGATTATGACTTCCTGTCTACTTCTGTCGCTTATTCTTCTTCTTCTTCTTCTTCATGTCCATGTGCACCTTCCCCTGGCATTTGGTCTTGCCCGGGTACCCTTTGTGTTGTTTTTACCACGGGATGGACAGGGAGGTAAATATAGGTTGCGAAAGATAGAAGGCTGCTTCTTTGTGTTGAAACAAGTTTCACGCCACCATGAGGCCGCAGGTCAACCACCCTTTGAATGAGAACCAGAAACACAAGGATACCCTGAACATGGCCTATTTTCGCAAAGCCTTTCTGTTCAAGTCAGGCAAGCACTTGACGGCTTCGATGGCGAGTGGTGACAGAGAGAACTCTCGTTGCCCATTTTCGTGCGTAGGGTATATAGCTGAGACTGAAGGGGTTCGAACCATAAAATCAACAATGTCCCAAACCTTCGTGTTAGAGAAGATGACAAAGAGAGGCAGCCGTCAACATATCGATGGAGCCTCTGCCAAAGCAGGAAGGGACTTTGCCGTCAGGACCAAGTGAAATAACCTTTAGGTAGGTAACCAGTCAGTTCAAGTTATCATAACAGGTAGATCCTTCCCTTCAGAGAGCTTGACAACAGTGTTGTGCCTGAAAATCACTAATCGAGCCTGTGTCTGGAGCAGTCCATACCGACAGCCTGCATGGAAGGAATAGTTGTGTCAGGTTTTCGTGGAGATAATGCGTCAAGAGCCGTATCACGAAAGGCGACGGTGGAAACCATCGGCTCCGCCTCTGGTTCAAATATGCCCAGTGGAGAAATTTTCCTCGCGCTTCAATCTCCATCCTTCACCACATTGATTACGTAGCAGCTAAAGAGGAAGCACTTACTTACCTGCCGAACAGCCGCCCGTCATGTCGAAACCCTTCCCCTTTCTCAAGACCACCGATGCTCCGGATGATGGGGTCGTCAACTTCCCAAAAGCAGCCCGGCTGACTGCTATGCCCATACCGCCGCCACTAGACAACAGTCTTGGCCCAAACACTTCTCTTCAAGTTTCTCACAGCTGCCCATTTCGCCGATTGGTTTTAATTATCCTGCGACAAGTCGTTCATACCTCTAATCAACCAGCCGACAAGTACGGCCCAAACCAATCGACATCATCCGAGTAAACCTGCCGAGTAAACTTGCCGAGTGAACGTACAGCCGCACTCCTCATCTCCATCCATTTCAAGCCCTCATTGAGGCATCTTGGTAGACAGGCTCTCGTCGAGAAAACAATTAGCCCAGTTCTTCTCACCTTCCTCCTCACCTCACTACCAGGCTCCTCATCTTCACCGACCATGCTCCATCATCTTTCGCAACAGAGCCCCGAGTCCTGAGGCTAAGGCTAAGGTCCTCCGAACTCTCGGCTTCTGGGTCCCCTCGAGTCGCTGGTGTCAATACACTGATTTGAACCCGTCATGGAGTCGACTCTGCCTTGGTTTACCCCGTCCGCGTCGGCGCTGCTTGAACCGAGTCTCTTGAAACTTTGCCTGCCTGTCTGCCTGCCTGTCTGAACTTGACAGTAGACCCGACAGTTAGTAGACCCGACAGTAGACCCGACAGTAGTCCTGATCGAAGTACCTCTAGGTAGATCAGACCGTGTCCCGACCGTGGTCCTCATATGGCCGTGGCCGGGCCCTGGCTGCCCTGGTCCTTTGGTCAGGTTCGTTGGACCTTGACCTGACTTTGTCCGTGACTTCGTTGGAAGTCGTTGGCCCGCTCCAAGTCTCAGCTGAAGTCCAACGTCGGCAGGCATCTTTTCCCATCTCTTCCCTCGGCTTGGCAACTTGGCGCTTGGCACTTTACTCTTGGCGCTGACAAATATAATTTTACACTACTGCGTATAGCTGTGCCAATAACTACCTACCATTTCTACGATGCCTGATCATGGCCGCGTGTGTTACCCAAGCGCTAATTACACAATGACGCGTAGCAAGTGGAAGAAGCAAGGGATCGCGGCAGTGGCAGGCAAAAACGCCTTGAGGGTAGGTATGTAACACGACAAAAGAAACGAAAGCTGTGGTTTGATGTCATTGCCAGGATGCCAGGGAGCTCGCGCCCAACGCCCGCCCCCACGCAGCATTTTGGCGTTGGAACGCGCCGGCCGGCGGGGTGGTACACTACATACGTACGGATGAATGGGCCTCACCGCCTAACCTTATCGCTTCGTCGGTTCCTCGTTGTTGCCGTTTGATATCAACGTTCAACTTCATTGATGACCTATGAGCACCATAAAGTGAGTGGTGGCTAAAACCTGTGTCTACCAAAAGGGTATTTTGTGGTGCTTTGTGTGTACCTATCTAGATAATCTACCTACTAAATAAAGCGGGGGTCGTTCATGCTGAAAAGCGAAGAAAAACATGCAGGTCTACCTCCCCAGTTGCTTTGGCTAAGTTCGCGCTCTCCCATTCAGATCGAGTGTCATGTCCACATGCTGTGATAACGGGGGTATGATCTTGTCGTCGTGTAACATAAGTCGGCAAAGTCCAACAACAACCACATTAGCAGCTCACCCTTCTTCAACTTCCCATTGCAAAAAGAAAACATAAAAGGCCTTTGAAATCGACGACCTCTCTCTCCTTTGCTGTCTCGTCTTTCTCGCTTTTAGACAGACTTCGACCGCTTTCTCTCATCCTCCAAGACGACGTGGTGACAAAAGGCTAGTTTCTCTCCAACCTGGTTCCGGACTGGCGACTGCCCCGAATGCGAAGTAATTTTTTTTTGTCATTTGCGTCTGGAAGACCCGCTCATCCTTTCATAACGGACATTACCAATCTTTCATTTTCCCACAACTCCATGACTCCTGACCAGGGGTGTTCCGCCTGAGCCGGGCCCTGAAGCCGACCCTATCCATCCGCTTAGAGATCGTCATCGTCCTCCTCGTTGGGAAGAGGCATCTGGGCAGCCTCGTCCATCTCGGCGCGGTACTTCTCCATAAGCTCCTGGTCGACAACGGCGGTAGGAGGAGCAAGGGCGGGGGCAGCGACGAACTCCTAGAGACACAGTTAGACATCAGACCTCGTATGGCGCTAGGGGTGGGATAACATACGAGAGCGTTGTTGCCGACGAGCTTGCGAGCGAGCCAGAGGAAGGGCTTCTCGAAGTTGTAGTTGGACTTGGCGGAGATATCGTAGTACTGGAGGTTCTTCTTGCGGTGGAAGGTGATGGTCTTGGCCTTGACCTTGCGCTCCTTCACGTCGACCTTGTTACCGCAGAGGACGATAGGGATGTTCTCGCAGACACGGGTGAGATCACCTAGATGTGTTGTCAGAGCGGGCTGTCATACGTCGCGACGGGTCCTGGATGATGAGGGGTGCTTACGGTGCCAGTTGGGAACGTTCTTGTAGGTAATGCGGGAGGTGACATCGAACATGATGATACCGCACTGGCCGTTGATGTAGTAACCGTCACGGAGACCACCGAACTTTTCCTGACCGGCGGTATCCCAGACGTCGAACTGGATCTGGCCGAAGTTCTGCGCGGGGGGGTGGTTGGGTCAGTATCGGGTTCGTCGAGCGAGCGCGCGTGCAAGCACACGTTTGTTGTAATCGAGGGCCATCAAGACTTACGGTGCTGAAGCCAAGAGGGTGGACCTCGACACCGAGGGTGGCCATGTACTTCTTCTCGAACTCACCAGTCAAGTGGCGCTTGACGAAGGTGGTCTGGCGATGGCATCATAATGTTAGCGCAACAAGTCCCAGCAAGCAGACGGGTACCCACCAACACCACCCCGCAGCACAGCGATATGTACTGGAGCGCCGATGGTGTTTGATGATGATGCCGTCCACGTTCGCGGAAGATGGGATGTGGACTGACCTTGCCGGTACCACCGTCACCGACGAGGACGAGCTTGAAAGTAGGGGTCGCGGCAGCCATTGTGTATGATGCTTAATATCGCAAGCGAAAAAGAAGCAGGTAAACAAGTCCTTTTGGGAAAGTCAGCTATCGACCGGTCGGAGCGACACAGATGGGCGGGGTATCGAATGGTTAAATAAGGGCGAGGGAGGGAGGGATCCAAATCGAACTAGAGACGCACCTTTGCGATTTTGCAGAGGGTGGGAAAATGGGTGTGGTCAAAAAGAGAGGAAGCAGTGGACCTCAGACAGCCTGGTGGATGATGTTGTGTTTTCAAGGCACCGCCGCTCAAGGGAAGGGCCACCAGCCTTGACGAAAAACTCGTTGGGCGGCGGGGTGCTTGTTAGGTGACGGGCACGTGACCCGCCTGGTCAGTGCGGTACCCTCAACCAACTGAAAGCAACGAACCTGATGGGCGCAAAGTCAAACCGATCGATGAGGATGCCATTCACTCCGTCTTGCCGCAATGCCGCCCGTTCGTGTCTTATTTCCTGGTCCTGACGTGCTGACGTGCAGACTGTCGCGTGTCGGGAACAAAGAACTGAACCTACCAAGGGTTTCAAGCGTTGGGCCACAGTGAATGCGCACTCTCATGGCATCAGCCTTATCCATTTATCTCTTTTCCACTTTGACATCAGGTTTGCTCGTTTAAGTTCGCTTGTTTTTGTTTTGGTTCTGGCCTCGTTACTACGGTGAGGGAGAACCCCTGGCGTCTTGGCCTTTTGGTTCATCTTTCGAATGCCAGTCAGTCTCACATCCGTTGTTTCCTTCATTACAAAGCAAATTCCCAAAGAGGCCTCATTCTCAGGCGGCAATGGCGCATCCTGATTCTTCCCTAACACATCTGAGCGGATTTGGTGCCCAATGACGCTACTCTTGTATCACAATCTTCTTCTGCCTAGCTCCAGGCCATCATCTCGCCCCCGTTGCCTTTTCATAGTGGCAAGATATGGCATCCAAGCATACCTCTACCGCCCCAGTCGCGGCGAGGAGTCAACGTTAGCCGAAGCTCTTGGGTTCGTGTCCCTGCCGTGCTCCGAGAGACCTTGACGAGAATATTTTGCTAGTGTCCGGTTAGCTCAGCTTTCTCCAGGCTGACAACTACTTGGGGCAGACAGAGCCTGGCACGACTTACCCCTTCATTACCCTGAACACACTCTGCCACCTTCCTTAGGCTGTCATGGTTGGACCGGTTGACATAACCAAAGCTGCGGATCAGATCACCGGCCTTGAGACCTGCTGTGGCCGCCGGACTGTTATCAACGACACTGTTGACTTTGGCGAATGGCTGCTCCAGAACTTCGGGTACCGAATCTGGCAGCGGTGCGGCTTGATCAGTGGGAACAGGTGTTGACTCTTGGTCGTCGTCCTGGATGCTGGCGAAATGCTCATGCAGACGCTTCTCGATCAAGGCCATCAACTCCTTGTAGTCGTTGCGAAGATGGATGATGCGCGACCTTGTTGTTCGGATTTGCGCAACATCAATATCGGATCTGGGAAAGCCATCGGGAGTAAGGAGGTTTGTGTTCATGTCAACGCCGTGCTAGATCACATTGTATCAGTCAAATGGCTTGATGAAGGCTCGATGAATATAAACTGGACCAACCGAATCAAGCACTCCGCTGAGCGCCTTGAGCTCCCCCTCGATAGCATCCTTCTTGCGCTGGAGCTCAGCAAAGGATAGATGGGCAGCACTGCCGTTGGTGACAGGGGCAGATGTCGGTCCCGAGGGGACAGTAGGCGCATGAAGGTTGCTCATGGTGAAGAGTTGCAATTAACGTATAATCTTATAATGGGTAAGCCTTAGTTGTGAAATCACCAAGCATGATGAGATCTCGATCTCAGATTGGAGTATGTATGTACCTAGCTGGCTCGTGAATTACCTACCTAGGTACTTTGTACGGGCAGTCTCCAGCGAATGACGCGATGCGGTGGCCTGGCCGGATGGATGCCTCTCTCTGCCGCTGCGGGAGCTTGAGCTTCAGTGAGCTTCCCTAGGTAGCTTTGCTGCCCCGGTCTTTGGTTGCCGTGTCCCACTCTTCGCCGGCCGCCTGTGATGGTCGGATGGGCCGAGAATGAGGTGAGCGGCGGTGCGGGGTAGCATTTCCTCGTTCTCTAGCCCCTCCATTATGGGTCCTCTGACCAATGGGGTGGCAGCTTTCACCTGGCCGACCCGTTCGGACGATGTTGACCGGGGCTCCCATCCCTTGGATGGCGCCTGCCCACCTGTCGCAGGGATAGCCTGCGCTACATAAAGAACCACAAGGGCCGCAGGGCTTAGGCGCAGAAGTGGACGGAACTGAAGACGAGAAATGGAGCGGTTGCCCGTGCTGTCTCTCATCGTCAAGCACTGCAGTTCCCGTCGGCACTCAAGCAGACCTTCCCTTTGAGAGTGAGCAACAAGCAAGGGTGCAAGGGCAACAAGCTCCGAGGAATGGGACACGGCATGAAGCGAACTTTACGACTTTTTTTTTTTTTTTTTTTTTTTTTTTTTTTTTCGCAACTGCATCTCAAACAACGTCCTTCCTTCCCGTCCATGATCGACGTCCCACTGCTCCTGCTGCAGTGCTGCAACTCGAGATGTGCCTCACCTCACCGTCCCTGGTCCCGGTCGAGGTTCATTTGGAATTATTACCTGACCCACAAAGACGGGCATCAATTTCAGCCATCATTGTTTACATCCCATAGCATGTAGGATGCGAAAACTCCAATGGTCAAGTCACGATAGGCAGTGATTGGCTGTCGCTGATCTTCCACTCACCTCTCGTCTCTGTCCTCTCTCTCTCTCTCTCTCTGCACACCACCATAACCCATACATCTTTCGGCTGTGTCTGGATTTCTTAGCACTTCAGCGACCAGAGGGCACAGTACACTAGGGGCACGAGTACCCAGTGGTCCAAGCCCAAGAGACGCGGGAACAAATCCATAGGCTGACTTGAGCCACGTGTCGACCGTGTTGCGGTTTCACGTCCGATTCTCGCAGCCAGCCTTCCGCTTTGATGGCGGACCCATCTGGCCGAGTCCGCCTGAGTCCTCCCTTCCACTACACTACCTTTTCAGCTGGAGACCAAGACGTCCAAGAGAACATGGCTGACTGTTTCGGGCGAGCTCGGATGCCCAATGGACATCAATGAGTTCGAACGGGCATGAAATATCATCAATGACGTGCCTTGCGCTAGATATCCAAGAGCGGCTTTCCGGCATCCCCGGCCGCCTTAGTTGCCGACCCTCGCTCCTTAGTACAATCAATGGCTACTTATCTATCTAGCCTTAGCTTCCTGCCTTGCTGCCTTTGAGACAGACTTTTCCAGGCCGGGTTTGAGTTGAACCCGGCCGGCCTCTTCTTCCCGTCCTGTGCTGCAGTTACTCTTATCGACGGGTGCAGGTCGGAGTGTTGTTCCTCGTGGTACTACCTACCTACCTTAGCTCTACCTGCTTCTACTCTGTCCCTTGAAGGCGGGCGGGCAGGCAGGTCTCGGTCATCAACAGCAAAACGACTGGAGCAACAACAGCAAGCCGGCCAGGAAGGAACTGAAGCGACAAGGACTCACACTCACTCCTGCCCGGCCTAGAACGAGGTGTCCTGGACTGCCGGGGTCTCGGAGTGGACTACAGTAGTAAAGCGAAGAACCTGGGGGAACGCTCCTTCCCAGTCGCCCTCTCGTATCGCCCACGGCATCTGGCGATAACGAACAATCTTGCACCATCCATCTTCAAGCCCATGAAAATTTCTGCCCCGTTCTTTTCGTCTCCGACCCCTCTCCGAAAGAAAGACTTCTTCCCTCACAATGTTCTGGTTGCTAGTACTTTGTCAGTCGTGGAAAGGAAAACGGCTCCAACCTTTTTTGGTTTCTTGGTTTCTCGGTCAACTACTCTCTAGCACACATCGTGCATTATCTTTTCATCGTCACGGGGTCTTACCGCTGCCTTGCTCTTAATTACCATGTTTCGATAAGGGCCAGTGCATCATCTGGAACACTCGACTCGGAGAGGATTGGAGCCCACGGATCCGAGATACTATCTGCCGTGCTGCGGTTGCTGCAGGAGCACTTGGACTCGAGTCTCATCACGGTCGGTGCAGGTCATCTGAGCTTCAACCAAAGGGTTTCAAGTTTGGAGTTTGGAGCCTCCTCTGGTCTGGCTCTGGGCCTCCCTTCTACCTGGTTCTCTTTTTTTTTTTTTTTTTTTTTTTTTCTTTTCTTGGAACCTCCTCTCGACCACTGGATCCAACCCACAATGGCAGCCCCTGGACCCAATGTCGATACCCATGTCGATCCAGTCACCAAGCCTTTACCGCCATCTCCTTATGCTCTACCGATAAGCGCCATTCATACCCCCTTCGACCCTAATGGGAACCCGCTGCCGTTGCTGTTAACATCAGACGAAACACAACCACTCGACCATGTACGGGAAGATCTTACAGTTACGGAAGAAAAAAACGTCAGCTCCAGCCCTACTGTGGCCGTGGTGGATGTGAGCGAGCCCAATGAGTGGGATACTTTGGATACGATACACGACTTTCAAGATGCCGTTGCACGTCATCAGGCCCTGGAAAGTAGCAACCATGTCTACCGGCAACCAACAGCAACACCATGCGAGCCCCCAGCCAGTCAGCCCTCGAAACCGAACCGGCCGTTTCAAAAGTGGATCAAGACTCTGCACAAACGAGCAGTTCGCCGTCAGGAAGCCATGGGTAACGAGCATGCTTCCACGTCTTACTACTTCAACCTCGATGGGGCGGGCTCGACAGCCTGGGGACCCGGGCACTACCGACCGTCATCTTCAACATCCTCTTTTGGTTTCGTGACGGCCGTCAAAAGCGCCAGTATATCTCTGACTAGTGCCAGCACTATTCTGACGCGCTCCCGGAGAAACACCGTTCGATCATCCCGTGGCCAGTCGAGGACAGAACGCAGCAGCAGAGCTTCTCTCTCCGGTGCGCGGCTTTCTGAGGATAGTTATTGTCCGGAGCGACAGCTGATGGTGGATCCTGCGGCTATAGGGAGGTCGTTGCAGCGACGCCGGGTTCTGGAGGAGCTCATCAACACGGAAGAGAGTTATATTGGAGATGTGCGCTTCCTGATGAATGTATGTTGCAGCTTCATCCCGTCCTCTTTCACTGTCTCTGACTAGTTTACCCCTAACCTAGGTTTATGTTACCATTCTTGCTTCGCTTCCTACTTTGCCAGCCAGCCTTCGCTCTTCTATCAATCAAAATCTCAATGACATTGTTGAGCTGCATGAGGAGATGTTAGGCGACCTCCATAGAGCTATTCCTCACTCTGAGTATACACAGCTCAAATTCCCTCTGCAAGTTCCTTCGGCCGGCTCGGGGTTCCGTGGTCATCAGCGATGGAGAAGTCTGGATGCAGTACCAGAAGACAAGGATGGCATCTCATGGCTTCGTGAAGTTCCGGGCATGCTTGCCGACCCCCAGGTTGCTGCTGAAGTTGCCAAGATATTCAGCAAGAAGATGAACCGATTTTTCATCTATGAAGAGTATGGTGCCAAGTACGAGCTGATGATCAAAGATGTTGCTTCTGCTCACAGGACAATGCCTGCATGGCAATCATATCAAAAGGGCATTGAGATTCTGGCTTCCTCTCTTAGCTCGGCTAACAGTCAAGACGACAAACAGAGGAAAAGTCTCACAATTGGGGATCTGCTTATGAAGGTAGGCGATATATCGCAAAATAACACGCGGATGTATGCTAACAAAGACCAGCCAATCCAGCGTGTGTGCAAATACCCATTGCTCTTCGCCGAGTTGCTAAAACACACCCCTGAGGCAGACTGCCCCTATTCTCATATGGAAATCGAAAACACGCTTATCCGATTGCGTGAGGCTACTGCCGAAATCAACAAAGCTACGGATGATTCCAAAATCAAGTCCACTCTGGAGAAAACATGGATCCTCCAAGACCGTCTGGTGTTTCCTAATCAGCAACTGGATGCAGCTTCAAAGAATCGCATTCGATCATTCGGCCACATCCAATTGTGCGGAGCTCTGCATGCCTGTTGGCAGACAAAAGAAGGCGTTAACGGGCAGTACATGGTTGCTCTACTGTACAAGGAATGGTTCTGTCTAGCTACAGCTAGTAGGACTGACCAGATATACACGATCCAAGCTTGCATTGCTTTGAGCAACGTCAAGTTGGAAGAAGTGGACAACTGTCGAGGTATGACATTGGCTCTGTCAGATGTCTTCATCCGTGTGAACCTCGTGCTGACGTATCTATAGGCCTTCAATGTCACACCGCGCCACATTCCTGGAAACTCGTGTTTCTCTGCGACCACCAGTTGTACGAGATCATCTTGACAGCATGCACGCCGAAGGAGGAGATGGAATGGCGTACACGCCTCGGAAACCAACAGACCACCGAGGGCCAAGACCAGATGCAACCGGCAACTTTTAGCTCGCTTTCTCTGAATATCAAGACTCTGGGAGCTGTTTTTAGAAAGCCAGGTATGTGTTCACTCTCCAATTGGTACATGGACAGAAATAGCTGATAATCACCGATCATAATTAGGCACCATTGCCAGGAAGATATCTATACATCGAGCGACCACCGTCGGGCCCAAGTCACCGTTATGCCAAGTGATACTTAAGAATACAAGTGTCATCAAGGATGCACCCGCTTCGGGAACAAACTCCTCAATCAGTCGATCTCAGTCCCTTCTGACCACCAATACCCGACTGCCAGTCCTTGCGCCATCTCGTGAAGAACGGGCTCGACTCGAGACTCTGCTGTCAGATGTCTGGACCCGGGATATCCTCCCCTTCCCCGGAATAACGGCCCGATCCCGAAGCGAGCAGCTAGTCCGAGCATCCGCTTCATCCATGATACGAAAGCTTAGTGTGGTGAGCATTACGAGCAGCTTCACCAAACGCTCGGCCAGTTTGACCAGTCTCCCACGCAAAGGAGGGAGTGGCAGTAACTGCACAGAAGAGGAAACTTGTGTCGGCTCCACTGCCACCAAGGGCACAACAAGCCCCAAAGTCCTGAGCAGAGTCTGCCACAAGGCGGAGGAAACCAGCCGTTCTCTACTTTCCGTGATTCCCGATAAGATCGAGAGACGTAGTCCTATGCTTCGCAGCGCGTCTGACTCGGTGGGTAAAGAGATGTTTAGTGTGGTACATCAGCTAGACCGAGGTCGCATTCGGTCAGAGAGCGAAAGTGAAGGGGCACAGATGGTTCATAATGATTTCTCAGGTATTCTGCAACAATCATCGGGAAATAGCTCGAGGGCGCCGAGCATCCAGCAGTCGAATCTCAGCAAGCAGACGACCAGGGAGATGTCTTTCCGGAGAGGAAAGGAGAATGATGGCTCGGCTGGTGACGCGGCTAGTGTTAGAGGTAGCGGGAATAGTATATTATCCGGTGACTCTGAGTACAAGGGGTCGACGCCGAGGAAACTGAGGAAGAGGTCCAAGACGTCAACATCAACCACGACGGGGAACAAGTGGGCAAAGGTAAACGTGCATAGGGAGGTTATGGTGCAAAGCTTGAGGAATATGTTTCGGTGAACAAAGGAGGTGAAATAATGTTTACTGGGTCAGGCAAAATTTGATGACGGGCGGCAAGGGCAAGACGGTCGGCATTATTGGGTTGGAAAGGTGGCCGGATAAAAGCATCTCTTATAATACCCGCGTGTTTTTTTCTTCTCATGTTTATGGCTTCATGGTTTTACGGACTTATAAGGAACGACCAACAGGTGTTGAAAACCGTCTCGGCAACGGGGTCATGTGCTCGAGGATGGTATCGAAATGGGTTGCCAGATTGTTACCTCAAAAGTTATCAGATACCCAAATGTTAAAAGTGGTCGTTCGCTTGTGGGAGGTGGTATGGTAGATGGTGATGGTATTCCCAAGGTAGGGAATTTCAAGGCTGACATGGCGTGATGTTTTCACGATGATTCGGTATGGTTGTTAGCACATGATGGCTTATTTTGGCTCGGCATGGTGAACTCAAGATGGCTCCAATTGACCCGGAACGGAGCAACTCAATCCGATGGCCAAGAACAACAAACTAGAAGGCCAAGCAATTCACCGCCCTCGCGTTCTCACCTGCATTGCCAGCAAACATTGGCAGTTGTCGTGCAGTTGTCGTGAATGCCAGATGGACGTCGCGACTGACGTGCCGTTGTCCGATTGACAATGACGTAATTGAGGTCACAAAAGCTCGGCTGCAAGGTACCAGCAGCAAGTGCACTGAAAAGAGCTGCATTTTGGTGGATCGAAGTCGCTGGAACCTTGAATTATTTATAAAGAATACGCGCAGGACCCTCTTTCATTCCAAGTGTTTCTTGAAGGGTAAGGAAGGGTAAGGGGAAAATGAACACATTTCGAGGGAACTGGTGCCATGGTCAACAAGGGAAAGGTTGGAGGCGGCTCGGAAGCAAGGTCTTGGTGACAGCGCTATTGCACGCTAGCTTTCAGAGCCCGCTGAAAATGGATCTGCGGGGTTCTTCCCGCCCCACCATTTCCCCATTGGAACTGTGCCTGCCGCAGCAGTGGAGTAAGTGTCCAGAAGACCCGCCAATTAACATCCAACTCCCAAGCGTCACCTATGACGTAGTTGTTTCTGTTTGTGCTTTGCTGGCTCGGCCAACCTTCCTTCGTCTGTAATTCTGTCGTCTTTATAATCTGGTAGGTGCGACGTGGAAACGGACAATAACTTCCCCTCTCTTCTCTTCATTATCCGATACCCCATTTCCAACGACGAACTATCACGAACTTTGTACGACGACGACGACGACGACGATTTGATCAAGTTAATCAGGTGAGTTTGATGGTGATGTCTGCAGCGCACCAATCCAGATGCTCGCCTTCCTAGGTCCTTTCGTGTGAGGTACGGGTGGATGGTGAATGAGATTCGATTGGGAACTTTCATTCACACTCTGGTTGGAGCCGAGGATGGAATTACCTGTTCGCTTACGTGGCGCCCATTCACTTCCTTTCTGCCTATGCCAACTACAAGAAAGACGAGCATGGAAGAATCACGATGGCATCCACATCCCCCCTACACTACGACAAAACAGACATACTAACCCTCGCCCGCTTTATCCAGGACTTGACAACCCCCACGAACCCAGGAACAAACACATACCAAACCAACCCCCCACACAAATCCATCCAAAATGCGCGGCGGTGCCCACGAACTCAAGGTCCACTACAAGGGCAACAACGAAGAGGACTTCCTCGTCTTCGTCGACAGCAAGGACGACTACAACAAGTGGCTCAGCGACAAGTCGACTCCTCTGGCCCAAGTCGTTTCTGTCTTTGAGGTCTTCACCACCCACAAGCAAGGCAGCCAGGGTATCTACTCGGCCGCGTCCCAGGCGATGCTCGAGAACGAGTTTGGCACCAAGAACGCAGAGGATGCCATTAAGCAGGTTTTGGAGAAGGGCAATTTGCAGGAGATGGCGGTATGTTTTTTTCTTTTCTTTTCATTCCCCCCCTTCTTTCTCTATCTTGGAGGACGAGCGCTGGTATCACAAAGCCAACAACGACACATGCTAATATGATGCTTTGTAACGACAGTTCCCCGAGCGCCAAGGAAGGAAGAATGACTCCAACAACGACGCGTTTATTACTCGCTAAGCAACTCTTACTTGTCGAACGACAACGACATGGCACGACACGACACGACATTCTTGAGCGGAAAGCATTGAACTAAGTGAGCCGGCGTTTTGAGAAACAGACGGGCTGGGCTTGGGCTTGAGCTTTTGTGGGCTTGGGGATTTGGAGTCGAGTGGTGGAGTGACTGGAGTGAAAGGAGTGGATGGGAATGAACAATAGCAGCGCTTATGACGATACCATACTTAATGATGACTGCTTGATTCTGAAGACCAAACAAAACATTTAAAATTTCTTTGCGACGTGTGAAGGGTTAATTAATGCATGGTGACTGTGATGAGCTCTGGTGCGCATGAAACTAGATTTGAGGTTTGAAGACAAGTCAGGAAGAAGGAAGTTGGTATCTGTCATCAAACTCCTTGAGGATTGGGTCGTTGGATGTAATGAATGAACTTGCCAATTCAGTTGGTTTCGTGATGTACCCCGTATTTAAGCATGGCTGCGGCACAGCTGACCACTATGACAAGAGGGACAGTTCCGAAACCTCGACATTCATGCCACAAACCACATAAGTTGACTGACCATTAGGTACGAACACACACTTTTGAAGTCTATATCGACTTTTCTCTTTCAGTCCTTAGCTCCTAGTATATGCACTAGTGCCCACCTTGGCTATAAATAACTCGCTTTAAGTCGGGTTTCCAGATCCCTCATGCGGCCAATTTTCGAGGCCTACTCAGGTACCTAGACAGCGACAAGAAGGAAGCGATTCCATTAAGCGCGGTTACCAGATACTTCTATGCATATATACCCGCGCCAATTGCTCTCCATCTGCGGCCAATTCTCGTGACCTGGCTACGTAGATAGACTGGTTGACTGACTGCAACAGGAAGGCTGGAAGCGATTTCATCAAGCGCCGCTACCTAGATACCTTCCTTACCTGTATGTTTCTACGTACATATGGAGATACTATCCGCGCCAGTCGCCAGTCGCCAAATACGGTCATCCGGCGCTTATGGGAAAAACAAATAAGCAAGAAACATTATTAGATGTAGTAGAGGACGTCGTGAACGAACGGGCCCCCAGATAGATGATGACCACACGTGATAAGTTAGTTGCCCCCTGGTGATATCGTGCATGTCTACCTAGCTACCTAGCTAAAAATTTTCAATTCGGTAGTCTGTTCAATGTTCTAGTTCTAACAAGTGTCCGAAACCCAATTATTAATTGTTTTCCCACGAGCGAGCTTAGAGGTGAAAGATAGATAGGGTATACATATAGAGTTCAATCGCTTGGTCTAATTACCCCCCCCCAAACAGGCCTCCGAAACCCAAATTGTTTTGCCTACGAGCTGATGAGGGTACATGGATAGAGAGAGTGACTGGTCGATGGATGATACGGGTTATTTGATCCTGTTTCGGGCTGTTGGCGCGTGTCGTGCGAGTCGTGTGTCGCCTGTTGCGTGTGTCGTGTGGTTGTCTGTGTCGCCTGTTGCAGTAGGTAGGTTGACTAGAAACACACACAAAGAAAACACACAAAGAAAAGGGGGTGGATGAGACGTGGATGGGAAGCGGCTCGCCAAACAGAGCGCACGCAGAATATAGGTATGTATCTACCGGGAACAGCGAGGTGACGGAGCGCTGAAGGTTTTTTTTTGAAAGGATGGGACTGATGCGGCACGAGAGGATTGGTTCGCAGAAAGTTTCGAGCTAGGTAGGTAGCTTGGATTCCAGTCGATCTGGAATAGCATGAGGATGAATGTCTGGCGGAGGTGCGGACGAATTCCTGGCGGTCATTCTACGCTAGCATGTTTGGCAATGATGATGATGATGATGATGATGATGATGATGAGGTGCCTGTTTTTGTAAGCTGAAGCTGAGGCTGAAGGGTCTATCGTTGCGGTAGGTAGCCGCTGCTTAGATGTACTTCACCTAGCTCTAGGTACTCGGTCACCTAACTGCCAGGCGCCAGCTAAGCCCTGGAGATGACCCCTACTTGGTTGATGATGGTGGTGATGATGGTGCCCGTGGTAATGGTGTTTAGGTACTTAGGGTGAACTGAAGGACTCAAAATATACAGTCCAGACATTGGTGACTACCTAGGTAGGTACAAGAGACAACACCGAGTGACCTGTCAACTCCAGAGCAGCAGGTAGGCGTAGGGCCAGATGCAACGGATTAATCCGGTCAATCGGTCGGTCAGTTGGTCGGTCAATCGGTCAGTGATGAATCATGCCAAGAACATGAAGCGAGTGCTGGGTCAAAAGATCAAAGATGATGTTCAACTCTGTAGCACCCCTTGACATGGAGGGATTCCAACGCTTGCCAACTCGCTTGTGTAGAGGTGAGGTATTGGAACATAACTCGTTAGCGTTATTCTCTTTCTCCTGTTGGTTAACAGTTTCCTGCATCTACAATGCTGGTTGGTCGGATGAAGAAGTTGAGAGAAAAGGACGAATGAGGAAGGAAGGAAGGAACACTGATCAGTAACGCTGAGAGGTTCGCTCCTCCTCGCTCCTTCTCGGACTTGACGGGTTTTCTGAATTTGGATCTGAACCTGGACTGGACAAACGAGGTTTCTTCTTATACGCTGATCTGTATAGTACGGGAAAAATTGCCATTGTTTAATCTAGAGCTGAGGACCTTGAAAATGAATGGATGTCGTGAATTGTGCGCTGGGCACTTGAGAGTCTTCGTTACTCGCTTGACCGGACTTGAAGGTGGATGAATGAATGAATGAATGAATGAAAGAAGGAATGAATGAATGAAAAAAAAAAAAAAAAAATTGAATGAATGGATAGATTAGCCGCTTCATCCTTCAGCAAAAGTTGGCTTCCATCTGTATGTTACCGACTAGAATCAACAGTATCAACTGTCAATCTGACTTTCAGCATCTTATCACCTTTTGCTCTCGCGAGCGTCCATCACTTCACTTCACACTTCTTTCGGGTCCTGGTACAGTCCATTCTTTTTCCGTCATTTATCTCTTGATCAACAACATTCAACACGAGACCTGTACCGACCTAAACTCATAGTCAAAAAGTACCTAGGTACCTACTGCCACCACTCACGCCATTGGATACCTATGTGGTGGAAAGAGGGCGGCAATACCTGGTATTTTTCTTAACCATTACTGTATGCTAGGTAGGTAGTTTCATCAAAGTAATGTTACCTAGTTCCGCGACTGTCACATTGATATCAGTCTTGAGGTCGATAGTGGATAGTGGATACCTAGTCGTGCCATCACGGAAGGAAGAGCCTCAACCCGATATCCATTGACACCTTCGAGCTGCCCGCTCAGTGTTTCCTCCCTGCCTTCTTAGGTACTTTGAATAGGTACCTAGGTAGATCTTTACTACCTACCTACTGTCGCTGGACTTCCCATTCCACTCACTATTGACATCATAGATACCATCATACTATTTGATTCCATCCCCTCTTCAAAACATCCCATCCTTCTGTTCATCGCTGTCTCTTTCTTTCTCCCCATTTTCTTGGGGGGGGGGGGGGGGGGGGGGTTTCTGCCCTTTCGGCCCCCTTCAATCAATAAAGTGATAAGTGACCACAATACATCCATACCTAAATAAAGTGAGGCATTATCACCGCTATTAAGTCTCGCACCAGACGCACGCACGCACGCACAAGCAGGCAGGATTGGCGTTGATGATGAAACTGACCGAAAACACCGAAGGAGAAGGCCTGAGCGCTAATGATGATCCCCTTCCCCTGTCTTGTTTGTCATCAGGGGCTTGCTTACTCACTCACGATACCAAACACGATGAATGCCAAGGAAGAGCGAGCAGATTTTTGGACTTTGCTTCATAAGTATATATGTATAGTAATGTCCGCGTCTCTTGAGATGGACTGGCTTGGCTCTGTCTCCAGGGAAGAGTGGAGAGTGACGAGACAACTCATCGGGAGATACGACATAGTTTAAGCATCAATGTGGAAATGTGTGTGTGTATGTGTGCGTAGACAGATGAATGCATTTGTAATGTAATTCGTGCCCTTTTCATCATCAAATTATGTACAACAAACCCAGACGTTATTTATGAACATCATCCGTTCCCTTTTTATGCCACTTTTGATATGCCCTTGCTCTCCGTCAATCATTCCTTCTTGCACTCTTCTTCTTCTTTCCTCCTCTCGCGGGTATCATACTGCTTCTTCATCCTTTGTAATCACAAAAACGCCGTGGGTATCCAAATGCCACATGCAAGTCTGACATGCAGAATTGATGCTATATAAACAAGGGACAGTAAGAAAGGTAAAGAAAAAGGGACGCTTTGCTTGCTGTGCACCTGATAAAACAAAAACCAAATGATATATGTATCAGTTGTGTATGTGCTGGTTTCGGGATCTGGCTCGTATATATTACGGCCTTCTCCCTCTTTCTGTGTTATATCACAAGATGGCTGACTGACTGACAATCCCGCGCTCTCCGGGTTTTTTTTTTCCTTCGGAAGTCGCGTATGATGATGTCGTCGTTTTTGCCAAAAGGTGATGATGATGGGTGTTTGAGTTGGTCCGATAAGCAGGTTGTACAGAGTCGTATCGTTCGTCACAGGATGCTGAGATGTAGCATCATGGATATCATACACGTCCAGTCTTGCCACCACGCTGTGGTAATGTCCAAGGCTTTGCGCAAATCATCTGTTCAATCATATTAGCAGAATATTCTGCATCGAAATCATTCAAAATGAGACTAACCTCTCCCTCGCTGTATGCCCAAAAGTACACGGCCAGCCCAATCACCTGATAAATAGCGGCGTTGGTCCCTTGGTAGATGAGGGCGGCGGCCAGGGCGGTAAGCGGAAGGACGGCCAGGCGGGCCTCAAGACTGCGGTGAAAGCTGGATCCGGCGATGAAACCAAGCGGCCACTCCCAAGCGATGAGCAGGAGTCCGAAGACGAGGTTGATGATTTGCAGAATCGGTATCGGCTTGACGGCGGCGTCTAGTGTTTTTGTGAGGAAATCCCAAAAGATCTTGGGCCAGAAGAATCCCTCGAGTGCGGCTGCGACTTGGTCTGTGAGATGTGTTAGTTGGAAATAAAGATGAGAAATAGGCCAGACGTACAAGTTCCAGCAGCCAGGATAATGAGTCTCGCCCAGTGGTTCTTGATGAGTTTTCCCATGTTGACGACTGATTATGAGTCGGGTATCTTGACCAAGACGCAGACCTTGGTTCCCTATCGTTTCCGGATCGGTCTCCCTTTTCTTGGAACTGACTTTGCTTCCACTTTGATCTTGCTCTTCCTTGCTCCTATGACTCGGTTCCTTCGCAGATGATGATTTCTTTTCACGCAATGATGATTCCGTCTCAGTCCAAATCCTCCCTCGTATTATCCCAGCCCTGATGATGAGGCAAATGTCGTAAAAGTCCGATTTTATAGCGATCCAGCGCGTCAAACAACCCAAATTCCAACAGGTACTCTGGTAAGTCCTTTCGAAAGAATGGAAGCAGGTAATCCCGACCTGCGGTTAAAAGAAGCGAAGTAGTTGAAAAAAGGGTTGTCGATGTGAAAGAAGGCTATCGACGTCCAGACGTAGATCAAGGCCGGCAAAGAATGGAATGGAAGAAAAGAGGAAGGGCAACCCAAGGATGAAGCGGCCGGACAGGGCCGAGGCGGTACTAATATTAGGCGGGTTGTCCCTTCTCCTCTGGTGATGATGATGATGGATGACTGGCACTCGCCCCGCAAGGGCCTTGCACCCGGGGGGTTCGGGAGAGCGTGTGTCAGAATGGACGGGGTGGTGGTGAGGTGGCGCAATTGAAGCTTCACCGATGACGATAGTGCGTATCCAGTATTGCTAGTCGCTGTTGTTGGAGATCCAGGTTCTGACGATTCGGTCTATGGCGACAGCGGGCATCCGGGCGGCATCTGCTGTTTCCAGGGGATCGGAGGCTGGTTCTCACCACCCAAACAACGGGTATTATGGTGAGGGTAGTTGGAGGCACCTGGCCTGGGCGATCTAACGGTGGTGGTGTTGTTTGAAAGGTGAAGTCTTTGGCGATGTCACTCTGGAAGGCCGGGAGCGTCTGAAGTTGGGGGAGAGGAGGCAGTCCTTGCATGAAGCTGTGTTTGAGGCCGACAGACTTTTTTAGGGAAAGGGGGGGATCAAGAGTGTATGATCTACCAAGGTCTGGGACACATGCCGGGTTTACCCACGTCTTGAGGGGAGGAGGATGGATGTCACTGTGTGGGGTGGTGATGGATGGAGCGTGCCGGGCTAGCACCGCACTTGGCGAGGACTGGGCATTGTCTGGGCAAGAGAGAGCGAGGAGAGGCCATCGCTGGGCATTGAGAACTAACAGGCCGAGACCATGAGACCGCCTTGTGTCTCTGGTGGTTTTTTTTTGTGAGAGGTGAAGGCCTCAAGCCACTCTGTGAGCTGGGAGGCGGGCACATGGCCTTTCCGGGGACCCCTGGGCGGTTGCGCAGACCTCAGCTACATACTGTAGTGTACCTAAGTATCTTGGGGTCTTTTTTTTTTTTTTTTTTTTTTTTTTCTGATCCACGATGAGGTAAATGTATAGGTACCGTTCAGTTGGGAGTTGGGAGAAGGAAAATCCGAGATTCCGCTTAATTAATGGTCATGCCCAACCAAGACTGCATTGGGTGGTGGAAAAGGTAAAAAAGGATTTGTCACCAGAAGCAGAAACCAAGAATGACCAAAAAAAAAAGAGAAAGTCGTCGTCCACACAGAAAGAGCCCCGCCGTTCCTGGCTTCCTTCCTGGGCCCCGAGGTGCCCCTGCCGTCCGACGTGATTGGCGTTAGCGTGAGCGGTTAGCAGCCCCGGGCCTTATCCAATCACATGCCATCCCGCTCTGCTTTTCCGTTGCCAAGACAGGGGCTTCCCCCATGCAATGTGACCCGCCTATAACGTTTAGCATCAGGGATCTTGTACCTTTGCGATGCCGTCCTGTAACTGGACAGCGCTTCACCAGTGTCGAGTGACAAGCCGGATGCCTCCTTTGCCGTGGCCCGGTACTTAGTACGGCACCGGGCATGTTGAATATTTGCTCCGGAGTGCACGGTGGACGCATCGTGCTTTCCGATATCACAGTTATTTTTGGTGGGCCAAGATGGCAGCTGTGGTTTTTTTCCTCACTTTTTATTCTGCGAATGCAGCCTTTCAATGGCACATTCGCCTTTCAAAAGAATGTCGTCAAGGAGCATTTGGAATCAACAATGGCCTTCTAGAAACCCAACTTGGACAATTCAGTAGCTTTGGTTCTATATGTATTCTTTGGTGCACTTTATGTACACTACATACTGGTAATGCAACATGGATGTGCTGAGACAGGGCCGTTGGCTGCTGAGGCGCAAGACGTTTGAGATGCTTCCCCGATCTGGAATTCCCACCAGAGCACAGGCCTCCCTCGCTTCCTGCCTCTTGGCCCTTTTGAGAAGAAGGGAATCGATGCTTCCCTTTCGTGTATCACCACTGACTGCGCCATGCGGCGACAACAACATCAACAACAACACGATTGTTTGTTTAACCTCGTACAACCACACACCTCACAACGTCTGAGACTCTTTTTTCCATGCATTCTTCATGTTGTGACGACTGCAGTGACCCCAACCCAGCGGATTTCTCTTCTCGGATCAGACTGCATTCCGTTGTCTTGTGTCTGAGAGTTTGGTATGCCAGTGGAGGAAGCCGTCAACCGACCTGGTCCATGTCCTCTTCACCATTTCCTTCACAATCACATCGGCACTTGGTTCACGATTGAACTCAATGTTGACCAAGAATCTTGTCATCACCTTCATCACGCTCAATGACCTGAAAATTCAGAGAGATGATCCCTTCACCGCCCGATATACAAGATCCGTTAATCCTGTGGTCAGATGGTGGACCCATCCAGATTCCTAGGTGTTCCGGGACCGAGCCTTCGGGGATTTGTCTGTTTTTTTCTTTTCTTTTTTCTTGCTGTATTTCCCCTGTCTTTCTTCGGAATCTGCCCTGCCCGCCCAGTCTCCTCTTTTTTAAAAAGTAAACACCCCAGCCACACAGTTCGCCAAAAACATGGCTACGTACTATGCAGTCATCACGCTCCTCGCGAACTCGCATATGCACATCGTGGGGACTACTCAATGCTGCCTTTGCACGCTTCGCTCTGCACATTGTACCTAAACCCACACAGTAAAGTGCTACGTTAGACCGGGCGGTTGTGCGCTGCTCGTCATTGGCCTCACATGGGTCAATAGGCGGAGAACCACATGGGGGATCTCACAGTGTCCCCGACCGACAACCAATTAGGGGTCCCACCCTCCCCTCTCCATCACCTCGAGTTCTTCACTCATTTTCTCTCCCAACCGGGACAAAGAGCCTCTTCACATTCAAGTGACATGATCTTCATGCGAGGAGGCCAGGTCCTGTTCGCAGATCACTCACAAAATGATGGAAAATGTCCGCTTCGCTACACTAGTGCGGTATTGTATAAAATCATCTTATCATCATCATCATCACCGACACACCCCGAGCTTTCTCCAACCACGAACCTCGCGCACTCCACCAATTCATGCCGCGTCATGCGCTACTTATTCACACTTTTTCACCATGGCTCCGATCTTGAGAGATTTCTTGGGTAGTCATGTCGATTCTCGGCGACGTGATTGTTGCGTTGTGATTGTGATGGACCGGATTATGGAGCAAGGCCAAGGACGAGGGCATGCAAGACATCATGTGGTGATACACTACCTAGTGGGTGGCCGTCGGACGAGCAACATTCAACGTTTGTTTGGTTGACAATGGAAGTGGCATCTGAAGACGATGACGAGGAGGAGATAAGATGCCGAGCACCGATAACTGGTTTCTACAAAATCCGACGAACGGCGTCTGGGTCTCCTCATATGTTGATGGGGTTCGTTATCTCCACAGCTTATCGAATCACTTTCGTCAAGTTATCCTCCAGATGGTCATCACGCCCAGCAGGATGAGCCCTGGGAACACTAATGGAGACCAGTTTAAATCCGAAGGCGAGGTTGACATTTTGCCACTATGTACGCCTCAGCCGCATCCAATATCGCCCAACACTTGACCATTTATCATGGCGAATCGTCACAAAAGACCGGACGGTACAGACAAGTGATCCGAACCCCAATCGCGGCATCTTTCTCTTGGTCCGAGCCGTGTCCTCCATCTCATTAATATTCAGTGGCGAGGAACAATGGTCATTGTTCTGTACCTTGACTGTCTCTTTTCAGCCATGGCCGGGTAGTGCTGCCAGCCAGGTCCAGTGACCAAAACCCACCAGTCCCAGTGGGATGGCTCGATGGGTAGGAAGCGCCCCGGGGTTTTCCAACCAACCGAACCCAGTTAGTGTAGGTCCGGTGTGTGGATGTGTGGATATGTGATCCAGCCTGGGTCTGTTGGGCTGGCCTCGACCCGCCGGCCTGGCACCTTTTATCGCCTCTCTCGTCTCTTTTGGGATTTGGTGTGGCTTCTTTTCCTTTTCCCTGCCTCTTTTGTGTGCTCATTAGGAACCCGCCTCCCCGAATGACAATATCTAGGTATATTACGCAGTTTACGCATGGGGCGCCAAAGATAGTTCAGCTCAGCATCAAGTGATGTACACGTGCAGACTTCTCTTACAGTGTTGTTGATGAGAGAAAACAAAAAGGATATCTTTGGAGGGTGTAGTCCACATTGCAAAACACGTGAGGTTAGTAATCTCGGCGGTAAGCTGTGCCCTCGAACTACATTAGCTCCTTGGTTTCGCTATTCACTCATTTTCACCGTGCCCTTTCTTTCATACTGATGCTGAACGTCCGTTGCTCTACACTACCTGCACCAGCTAGGTAGTGTGCGCTTTCTCGGCGCTTATACCCATTACCATATAGGCCAAGGTCAAGGACCCCTCTCTTCCTCCTCACATCTATAGGGAATAACCTGGAAGCCGTTTTTCTGTCAGATTTTATTTTATAACTTTTCGTTTGTCGTCGTGGTCAGCTCAGCTCACTCCCTGCTGTCGTCGTGCTCAGCAGGAGCAGCATTCGTCACAGTGCGTCAGTCACTATCACTCACCGTGACGACGCGGATATAAATAGAGGAAGACTATTAATCCTTTGCTTACACTACTCACAATAGATTTTCTTGGCTACGGGCTACGGGCTATGTACATATGGGGAGAGGTCCCTGCTTGGGGATCACGGCCGAGGAAAACAAATAGCGCAACGGAGTGGATGGAATGGGTGGGTTACCTGGTATCGTGTCGATACCTTGGTGATTGGAGATAACGGACGGACAGATGGTATCAGAAACAAGAGATGGGGCGAGACGGGGTCAGAAGTAGAGAGGGGACTGGAGGAGGTGAAGTATAGACAGAAGCAGAAGCAGAAGTTGAAGCAGACGTTAAAGGTAAAGTTGATGCTGTTGATGCTGTTGATGCTGTTGATGCTCTTGATGCTCTTGAAAGGCATGTACACTAGGTATGCTATCATTCATTCCATCCCGGCGCCTACCATGAACTAGCGCACAAAGGAGATCATTGGATTGGCTTGGACTGAATGGTTGAAAAGACGAATGAAAGGATTCAAAGTGGCTGGACTAGGCAGTACCATAATGGACACCTAGATACGAGTGGATATGGGTCGAACGTTGTGTTGAGGTACTGTAGATAACCCTTGGGGCCGAGTAAATGACCCCGATTCCGACATATTCTTTCTTCTTATCTTTTTTTTTTTTTTTTTTTCAATTTTTTTTTTTTTTTCATTTTCTCGGTGGTCGATTTTGGAATGTATGCTCTACCTCCCCTCCCTCCCTTTCTTTTCCCTTTTTTTTCTCCAATCTCTTTTCATTTTCTTTTTATTAATATTCTTTCTTTCTATATTCGATATCATCCATCCAAATACTAGTGAAGACCTGGACACTACCTAACCACCATCAACTCCTGTCTGTTTGGGATGGAATGTGTGGTATTTTCTTCAGGAGCTTCAGTTCGGATATGATACTAGCGTCATGGTTTACCAAGCCATGATTTAGTCAGTCCCTCGGAGCAACCAATGAAAGATAACTTGGACAGTAGGTACCTACTCTTGTTACCTCTCAGCTTCAAGCCTTGATCGCTAGGTACCTAATAATCTCACTTATGCCTAGGTAATCCTATTCATAAAGTCTCGGGAGATGGTGTGCTTACGATCAAGGACATAAAGGAGTTAACTTGCCTTTTTGTTTTGTCTGCTCCACGCTGAGATAGCTTTGGATTTGTTGGTGTGTATAAGAGGTTATCACTAAAGTCTAAAGTGTGAGGCGATCAAGATTGAAGAACATGATGGCTGTTTTTGGTATGTTAACGTCGAGAACATGAACAAAAGATCTTTGAGGTGAAGTGCTGATATCGATCAACAAGTTTTGACCAAACGTGCCAGTTCTTTAGCAAAAGTTTAAAGTGTGTGAAACTGATCCTGTTACTACCTAACTACCCAGCCAGAACCGCCACTTGGTTTTCTGTCTGAGATAATCAACCTCATTCATACCATCACGGCACAGACCTCACTCTACTTCTACTTCCTACTATTATTTAATCTGTCAAATCACTTCAAATCCCTAGTCTATTTGACTTCTCTTTTGATGGACATGCTGCTCTTCCCCTTTTGACTTTGTACCCCTTCCCCCATTACTTTCTAACCCCTTGCATTCGCGTTCCTTACCTGAACCTCTACCTAGGTAGCCAACGGAACAAAAAGTCCAAAGTGAGAGAAATCACCCAGTAACAAGAGACACCTACGCAACACACACATAAACCCATTTTGAAAAGCATAACAGCACATACGACCATAGATGGTAGAAAACTCGGGATCCCGTCCGCTCTCCCATAGATAAGCTACCAATCGCCTGACTAGTAGTTGGGTCGGTGACGACCAGCGAATCCCAGGTGTTGTATGTAATTTTTTTGTTCAGATTTTTTACTTTGGGCCGTTTTCCTTGTTTGTTTCTCTTGATAGTTCCTTCTGGTCCGTCCTCCTTATGGCACACAAGCCATATGGGGCTGTGGGTGCTGTTTCCCTAGGTACCTACCTAGGAAATATTTTGCCGAACATGATGATGGCGAAACTTGGAAAATATGTAGCAGGAGGAAAGAAGATGGATAAAGAGAATTAACTCAAGAGGAAAGTACCAGGTGCCGTTCCCTCCCACTTTGGTCTTCATGTACCTCAAAACCCCATACCTCCAAACCACATACCTATGTACAGCAACCACTAAACAGCAAACTCATGCTCCCAAAAAGCCAGAAACCTCTCGACTTCCACTTCTACCTGCTCACTACCCCCCGATGCTAGCGCCATCGCGTTTCTGATTTGCTCTTTTCCCTCTGGTGTCTCGACTAGCTCTAGCAGGTCTCTGAGGCCAGGGAAGTTTCTGAAGATAGGACCGGTGAGAATCGCGCATGACTGAGGGGAAAGAGGGTGAAAGAGAATATAAGAGCGGGACCGGTTGCGGTGGGTGGCTGTGGGGACGGTGCAGAGCGGGAGGAGGGTGTCTCTGCTAGGGATGGAGGTGGTGACGTAGGGTGCCCTTGGGTGATGATGCTGATAGCTGTTTGGGTGGTGGTGAGTGTGGGTAGAGGTAGCTTGAGGGATTGGGATGTGAGCTGGTGCTGGAGTAGGGACTGGAGGTGGTTGTTGTTGGAGGGAAGAGAGGAGTGATGGGAGGTCTGCAGGGTGGGAGATGGGGAGGATGGGGATGGAGGAGAGGGGTGGGTTTCGAGTTGAGAGGAGACTGTGAAATTGTTCGTTAGTTGCCTGGCTTCATTATGTGATTTGTTGGGGTCATGATGTCAGATGACAGAAAAAAAAAGAGGACAGAAACAATGGAGACATACCTAATCTGCAACTTCATGAACCCCTCCATCCCCTTTTCCTTTCCTTCCTCGTCGGTCTCAAGCGCATAAACAATCTTTGCGTGCGACGCATCACTTCGATCCGAGCGACAGAAATCATACAGTCCACCGATCCACTGCATTGTTCTTGCCCTGCCGACATCAACAGCCGAGTATAACAGAAGACGAAGGACCCGGTAACTGTTTCCGCTGGGGACCATGAGGGTGATGTCGTTGCAGCGCAGCTCAGTCTCTTTTGGAAGGAAACGAAGACTGTCAGTGGTACTGGATGATGATTGGCGTGGGCAAGGATGAAGAAGGAACGAGGAATATACCTTGCCATTGCCCTCCAGGCTGATGAAGCAGCTGAGAGACGACTTCGGTCCATGCGGGTCTTTGTCTGAGGTCTGAGGATAGCAAGTTCATGGTTGTTGTTGGGTGGTGGTGAGGGAACACTGGGTGAGAAAGGATGGGGAAAAGTTCAGTTGGATAAGGAATAACCCATCGTGCGGTGACTGGAATGCTCTTTCCTATTTTCCACTCAACTCAAGGACATTCATCGCTCTTTCCTCGGATGACTGGAGTGGCGTATATCCGCTGAAAAGTCTTGAGGCGCACCTGCCTCCAAGTTCCTGACGATGGTGTACCTTTACCTCTGAGTTCGGGATCCAGGTTTGCCAACCACAGGTAGTTTCCAACTCTTATTTCTTTCAATCTCCTGTCCTTTCTCTGATCTAAAGGTACTTACTTACATACCCACACCCACACTCACCTCACTTAACCTATTCCTCCCCTTTCATCCTCCCTTGTCCATGACCTTGTCCTTGTCCTTGCCCTGTTCCCACCCTGACTGGTAACTTATGCCCTCCCGATCCCGATCCCGATCCCGACGATGTTCCCGACTGTTGTAGTGTCTGTTGCTGCTGTTGCTGCTGCTGCTGTTGATGTTGCTGCTGAGAAGAAGAAGAAGAAGGCATGGTGGGAACCGGAACGCCGTCCACAAAGGAAATGACTGGCTCGGCAAAGGCTTGGAAAGATGGTTGGCCTGTTTCGGGGTGGGTGGGGAAGAGGGATTCGATTAGGTTCTGTTTGGTGTTGTTAGTTGTCAGTGATGATCCGCTTGAAGAGCATTAAGAGATGAGAGGGGGATGGGAGTGAATGGGTGACGAGGGGAAAAAAAAAAAAAAAAAAAAAGACACAGAGGTGGAAGAAAAAGGAACAGAACAAGAAAAACATACCCAATCAACATTTATCCCACCACCTATCGTCCCGCCCGCATTTCCTCCACTTCCTCCATTTCCTCTGCCTGACCCTCCTCCTCCACTACCACCAGTAGCACCAGCAGCACCACGACTGCTGCTGCTATTATTTCCACCATTACCTCCACCACCACCACCACCACCCTCATTTCCATTCCCATTACCAGCAATAGAGGCACTAGAACCCCCACCCCCAACAACACTCCCATTCCTCCCCCCTCCTGGTTGCCCACCTACTTGCCCCCCTCCATGACCATGACCATGAGCATGATTCACCACACTCCCCCCATCACTACTACTACTGTTCTCCGGACTCCCCGGGTTATTACTATTCCCAGGCGGCAACCCCCAAAGGACAGCGCCGTCCGAGACCCCTGCGTACACCATGTTGGGTGGCGGCATGTTGTTGTTGTTATTGTTGGTGTCGGTATTGTTGTGCCAGTGGGGTTGTTGAGAGGGGGGCCATTGGTTTTGTTGATGATGCTGCACGTGTACATGGGACTGGTGATGTTGCTGCTGCTGCTGCTGCTGTGGGTGCTGCGGGTGGTGTTGGGATTGTACGTGTTGGGAATGTTGCACTTGGTGGTGGTGGTGCTGTTGGAGGAGGAGCAACTGTTGTTGTTGCTGCTGTTGCTGTTGATGGTGGTGCTGTTCGGCCGGGGAGAGAGAGCCGTTCATGCTTGAGTTTGGAAGAGAGAGGATGTTGATGGAAGCCATGGCTGCGGCGGCGGACATGGACATGGAAGAGGATGGAGGCATGGTCGGTGTTTGGAGGCCGGGTTCCTGTTTGAGAACTAGGGGTTGTTGCTGCTGCTGCTGCTGTTGTTGCATCATCATTTGTTGTTGATGATGATGATGCTGAGCCTGCTGATGAGCGTCATACGACTGCTGCTGCTGCTGCTGCTGCGACGACGTCTGCATCATTATCGGCGTAGGCGGCGGAGGCGATTCCTTAATGGCCTGCTTGCCCGGCACCGCCCTGACCAAGTTCGTTGGGGCCCGCATCTTGCGCATGCTCGTGTACACGCTCGTCTTGCTCATGATCTCAGTCAAGATCCGCAAGCTCTTCTCTTGTCTCGGCATCTCGCACTCAAGCTGGAAGACCCAGTCCAGACACGCCCAGATGCGATCCGCTTTGGTGTTGTTGGGCCGATAATAAATCTCGGTCGCGAGCAAAAGCGCGATTTGGTACTGCTGGTAGGCACCCAGGTACCATGCCCAGTCGCGGAACTCGGGCGTGGTCTCGAGCGCGATGGAGTGCTCGATGATCAGGATGCCGCTTTCGACTAGCAGCCCGTTCAGGCGCTCGGGAAGCGGGTGGGCCGTGTTGCTGTGGTAGGGGTGCAATACCATGGCGTGGAGTCGGTAGATGAGCAGGTTCATGACATATCGGGCGTATTGCTGGATGGGAACTCGGTCGTCTAACAAGGTTGTGTACTTTTCCACCATGCGCTTGCGGAAGTTTTCGATTTTGGCAATGACGGGCGTGAGATCCATCTTGCGGGCCTCGAGCTTGCGGCGGTCCGACCAGATGATGCGCATCATCTCGTTGACTTCGAAGCGCATGATGGTCAGCAGGGATGAAGTCCATTGGTGGTCTTGTGGGACGACAGGGTAGCCGGGATGGTTGACGAAGGCGTCTTCTTCGCAGTTTAGGGGAAGGCGGGTGTCATAGTCGTCTCGTCGGATGGTGGGCTTGGGACCTTGAGCTTCGCAGGTCCGGATGTCGAGGAAGCAGAGCTGGTGCCAGATGAGTCTACGGACGTGGGTTTCCAAGGGGTTGAGACCAAAGGCTTCACCGTCCCGATGGAGGCCCATGCATTCGGCCATGCGGACGGCGGCGCCGACGAGGACGGAGTGAGCCCGGGAGACTTCTTCTCTGCAGAGGGGTATCTAAACCTCGTTAGCTTGCCTGAATGTTAACCCTTCATCAGGATGACATCTCACCATGTACATGACAAAAGCCTGCAGTGTCTCGACCTTGGTCGTCCTCAAAAAGTTGGCCCTCGCCAGCGCGCTCTCCGTCCCAATCTTCATCTTCTCCAGCAACTGCGTCTTGTACCACCCAAATTCCCTCTGCACCTCCTCCTCCTCCATGCTCACACAGGCACTGAACCAGGCAGCAAATACCACCGCCTGCACCGACGCCCTCGGCTCGATGTTGTTGAGCACCTCCAGCCAGAACCCGTCATACAGGGTCTCGAAGGATTGCTTGTGGACACATCGAGCAATGGGGTGCACGGCGGCAAAGTATCGAGCCACGAGCCCGTCACCGATGAACTTGTCTGGCAGGAAGTGGATGAGCGAAGGGGGGTGGCCAGTTTGCCCAAAGAAGAAGCCGCTGGTAGGAGGAATGTATGCCGCACTAGGACGGAGGAAGTCCGGGACGTGTTCGGTTACGTTTCCGTCTTGGTCGATTATGGCGTGGTATCCTGGGATGTTGTTGGCATCCGCGTAGCTCATGTCTGTGTCTACCTGCTGCTGCTGCTGCTGCTGCTGCACCCCGTTTGGGTTGGACGCGTTCCCCATACGAGGACTTCCAATGCCGACTTGGATCTGTTATCATCGTGATAGTCATCAGTATCTTTCCCCTTCAAGAATAACATCGCAAACATCAAAAGACAGAAACTCACCTCCTCCGCCAACCTAGGCCTACTCATCCCCCCAATCCTTTCCGTAATCCTCATCTTACCCACCTGTATCCCCAAATCAATCACATCATCCGTCTCATTCTCATCATACGCCACATCATTCGTCACCAACGGCGTAATCTCCAAGTCTTCCTCTCCCTCTTCATGTTCTCCCCCTTCTCCCTCTGCCCCGTCGTAATCTTCTCCCTCTCCATCATCCCCGTCCCCATCCCCATCCCCCTCCCCATTTCCATTTCCATCTCCCCCCCTTTTTCCTCTTATGCTATTATCCCCCCAAGTAGAAACACCACTCCCCCTCCTCCTCCCCCCCACACCCATTATCCCACCCATTCCCATCCTGATCCCTTCTCCTCTATATCCACCTGAAGAAACAGAAGCAGCGCCCTTGGCAACATCCCTCTCCAACGCCCGTTCCAAGGACCCAACCTGCTCTTTGATCTCTGTTAATCGCATCTGGGAAGCTTCGTCTAGTTTGGGACCTAGGTAGAGACATTCGCGATTGAATTTCTGGCAGTTGACGCACGGTTTGCACTTGTTGCATTTGAGTTTGCGCCGACGACATTCGAGGCACGAGGTGATCATGCGCATGCGTCGGCGAATGGGTTTTTGGCCTCCGGTGTGTTGGCCCCCGGTGTGTTGGGAGAGAGGGCGGTGGTGGTGTGGGCCAGAGAGGTTGTTGTTGTTGTTGTTGTTGGATAGAGGTAGAGGTAGGGTACTGGTTAGGCTGGACATACTGGATATGGGTACCATGGGTATGGGCATGGGCATGGAAATGGGCATGTTGGGGAGAGGGGGGAGGTTGCTGGGGGGGTAATTGGTGGATATCCCGGACATGCCTGTGGCGATGGACATGATGTTGTTGTTATTGTTGTTGTTGTTCATTTGGGCGGATGAGGTGATGATGGGTTGTTGACTGCTGCTGTTGCTGCTGCTGCTGCCCATTCCGGATCCAATGCCGCCTAGTAGCCCGTTTATATTCCCTCCCCCGACTCCGACTCCGAGCATTCCCATGTCGAGACCCATACTGGATGGTCCCGGTCCGTAGAGGTTGTTGCTGCTGTTGGGGTCAAGACTTCGTGGAGTGGACATTGGGGTGACCATCTGGTCGTCGTCTAGCGTGGCCGTGGTTATGGACGAGGCGACACTTGTTCGTCGGAAGTTATTCTGTTGCCGATGTGCGTTTGACGGTGGGAAAGAGGATATACCGCCCATGATTGTTGATGACATGCTCACGGCAGGAGGTATGCTAGTTGGATAGGCTTGTTGCTGTTGATTAGCTGCTGACGTTGAGGAAACGGCGTGTTGATGATGAGGATGATGATGCTGGATATGTTGCGCCCCTGTAGTCTGCGATGCCATTGAAACCGGTACCGCAGTCATCGATTGAGGATGGGGGTGAGTTGTAGTATGTGGTTGTCGATTACTGTGATTGCTTGTTGTGTTCATGGTATTCGTCGGCATGCCGTTCGCTGTGGCCATTCTTCTGCGGCCGTCTCTCTTTGTTCGCCTCCCCCCTGAAATAGGCAGATGTATATCCTGGTATCGTGAAGTCACGTTATTGGTAGAGTTTGCTTGTTTCCTTTTTTCGTTGTTTGATTTAAGGCGGCACTTATGCGCAAAAATGATCGAGTGGCTTCATTGTTTGTCCCTCCAGGGGCGAACTAGGCAATAAGCGGGTTGGACTCGAAGGGGCCTCGGATATCTCCTATGTCCTAGTCCTGATCTGATTCTTGGCCTTAGCCGCGGTTTGTGTCGATTTTCTTCTTGCAGGATCGATCTCGACTTCAATGGTCACTCTGGTTTCGTTCGCGAGTTTGCGCCGATCCTGGTAAATAAAGGTCGAGCGGATGATGCCGGACCCTGATAGACGTAGACGCATCGGTTTTCCGGATGTGTTTAGGGATGAGATGCAAGCTGAAGAAAATGAAGTTGTCTTGGTTCAGGAGGGTCCTCAGTAACAGAGTAGGTCGGAAGGCTGATACTACCTGCTACTCTTGTGGCCCGTCTTGGGGGTGGTGGTGGTGGTAGTGGCGGTCGCTCAACCACGTGCAATGCTCTGGTCCTGCTGAAAAGAAGAATGAGGCGTAATGTGTCTTGGTAGTGCTACTTGCTCGTCGGTACCGTCGGGATAGATAATTCCGGCTTGGAGCTCATACGACACTTCCGTGAATAGTAACGGGTCGGTGTGTTGTCGTATCCCACAGCCTCTCGAGAAAGCGCTTTCCGTCACAAGAGAGACTCTCAAAACATGTTAAATTCGAATAAAAAACCTGAACTTAACAGATAGGTTTCAGTAAGTTCGTGTCTGTTGGGGAGAACGGATTCTGTGCTCTCTCTCTCAAGACTATTGCGTCTGTGTCCAGTCTGTGTGATGGTGCTCTCGCTAACTATATCGTTCGGTCTTGAGTTCAGCCGCTTTTTGGGTGGTTCATGTCCTTCTGAAATGCCACCGACCGACCTTTGCTTGTGTATGTGTGCGTGTGTCCGGAAGGGTACCGTACCGGAGGGTTAAAGCTGGAACTGGAACTAGACTGGAACTTGGGGGGGTATGTGTCTCTGTGTGTGTGAGGACGGGGAGGGGAACACGTTGTGCGAGGTGATGCTGCTTTCTTATTGTTGCCACACTCACTCTCACTTGTCTCTTTGGGGTTTCCTGGCTTGCTCTGGGTGCGCTTTTGGAGGGGGGGCTGGCGTCACGATCGATAGTAGGCGCAGCAGCCACCACAACCACGCGAGATGATGAACCCTGATCACCAACCGACCCCGAACTAATGGGAAAGTATGGAGATTCCCGTTCTTTCTTTTAGCAGCAGCAGCAGCAACCGCACGGGAAAGGGGAACAAAGACTATTGGCTTGTTGCTCTTGATTTCTTTTTCCTTGGAGACGGCGCCCGGAACGCCAGCCGACATGCGTCCAGGGGTTGGACCTAAGGTTTGTATGTACCGGGACGGCTGCTGCTTGATCCCCAGACTGTCAGCTCCCAATACCATAGGATACGTGAGTTCGATAAGGGTATGTGAGGTGAAGAAAAGAGGGGCAGGTATGAGAAGGGTAGCTGCGGCTGGCTACCGAACCAAGATCGAGTCAAAGTCTCGGACCGTATTAAATGGGAGATCAACAACAAAAGAGAGAGGGAGGAAGAGAAGACAGATGGGTCGGTCAGACAGGCCAGGCATGCACCACAGATTGGGAAACTGGGGGAACTGGGTGAGCGATAATGCAGGAGCGAGTGCAATAAGAGGGATCTCGGGCAGCAAGCTACCAAGAAGGATCCGAAGCTCCTTTCAACCTTCTCGGTCGGTCAGCCAGCCTTTGCCGAATTGCCATTTTGGGAATTGAGCTCAAAGTACCTCACTTTTCCCCCCCTCTTCCCCTTACATACGATGATACTCGCGTAGTTGGTGACAATGCCGGCGTGACTGCCTACTCCCAACAGTGATTGTTGACTGTTGGGTGGTAATAGTTCTTCATCGCCGGGATGGATCTGCATGAGGAACTGGGAAGTGCCTGTTCGCTTTGCGCTCTTTTTCTTATATGCCTCTTTTGGGTCTATAGACGACCTCGATTGTCCCATTTCTGAAAAAAACGAGTGTAAAGTCCTTCGGGGTATCTCCTTGCTTAGACCCACATGCCCTGATCAAGACATGGATGGGACAATGGGTGATGGGGGTTTATGTGAGCTGCAGACGCAATAGCGCTTCACGCTCCCGCCCGACCGACCGGACGGGATAGCACAGCAACGCATTTTGAAAGCCTGGGGAGGGAGAAGGTTTGGGGACAGAGAGCCAGGGGGCAGAAGCTGCAGGCAAGCACCGGAACGTTGATCCCACGTTTCACGGAGAGTGGAGGAATCTAGGTAAGCTGAAGTACTATACTGCGGGAGTCGGGGTGCCGTGGTCTTATCGCCATATGTTGCTTGTAGGTATGCTTCTTCGTTTATTAAAGATCAATTTCGGTGAAGTGAACTCGATCAGAAGAATGCCATTCGATTTGGAACGTCAAGACCTGGCGAGTTTATCTCTCGTCTCGAGGGCTGGCCCATGATCCCATGTGTCGTTTCGAATGACCACCACCACCACCACGAGGCAACCAGCCGTAGCGATGAGAATATCTCGTCCAAACATCCCCAGCCGGAATGTATTCCTTCCCCTTCGCATTCGGCACTCGGTTATTGTTGACTCTAAGCCCTTTGAGGAGTGGCAGCCCACTCCACGCAGGAGGCGCTCGATCCGCCGCTCCCCTCACCACCTCCATCTCTGGTTTTGTGTGTGTCCAAACGACAGGCTGGTCTGAGTCTAGACTCCCTACAGAGCCACCAGCCAGCCATACAAGACTGAACCATGCGCGAACGCCACTTTGCTGTTTGCTTGCTGACCGACCGTGTGTCTCAAGATGAAGATACGTGAGTGAGGGGGGTTGATGATTTGAAGAAATTCACAATCACGACGGACTAGGAACCTACGCCGGAGAAAGACTGTGGCGTGAGATCGTGACCTGGCAGGCGGACCAGCGGGACAGAGAGCACAGAAGCCACGATCGGGAGACTCCATGGAGGAGAAAGCCTATCGGACGTTCTGGTTGTCTTTGTGTGACTGTTGCAAGTATTGAAATGTTGCTGCAGGTCATCGCTGACCCATCTGTCTCGCCTGTCTGTTCCTTAGACCCCGGTCCTTGTTTATGTCTCTGAGCATCATGTTTCGGTTGTTGATTTAGGTTTTGATTTGGGTTGTCCATCTTCCTTTTGCTCGCAATCTGCTGTTGAGTTTTGATCACCAGAATAAGAATAGGGATGAACAAGATCGATTGTATAGTCCACGATCTTTGGTTTCTTCTTGTGCACGCCTTTTATTGCCGTTGAGTGACCTGAGAGTGTCCCAGCGGCCAGGCCAGACCAGATCGTCTGTTAGTAACCGTGTCACCCCGTCTGGTGGTTGAAGGTTCGTTTTAGGCACACCTTGTAGTCAAACTTACGTACCCACTTACAAATCCACTCACTCTGATTGCCCTGAGGCTTGCCATATAGGCAGATAAATCGTCAACCGTTGAGATCTCTAACAGAAGTCGGAAACATGGAACCATGGCTGGTCGTTTAGGTGAGTTTCAAGTCCTGAAATCATGGAGTGCCGCGCGGGACTTCCTCGAGCCCTTTCAAACCCAGACACGCCCTTTCTCGCCTTTGGTAGTAGGTATGTATGCTTTGGTCGGGGCCCGCCCGAGCACGAAGCATCGTGGCGACCAACTTATTTGCATATCTGCCGTGTAACCACGATTGGTCTCTGTGGCACCATGACACCATCCACCCCGACCGACATCCCAGCAGCGCTAATCTAAATAATCATGGGGAGCTTCTCGGTCAACGCAATCGCGGCGGTGGAAGAGACAGAGTCTGGGGAGGAGCCCTTGTCGAGTAACTGCCGTCGCGACAGATGTTGAACACTTGAGTATTGGAAAGCAAAAGATGCCGTGGGTATGTATATGCCCAGAGCCAGAATGTAGACAGATGTTGCTGTTGAAAATTGAACGTATTGAACTGAGTTATGTCCAGAAAAAAGTGAGGAAAAAAAAGTTATGTGCAAGCATGCCTGCTTTCGTTCGTTATATACGCCCCTCTCCACCTAATACGACGACATCTGCTTCAACTCCCTCCTCCTCCTCACCTGGTAGGAATTCGGCTTGTCCTGCTCATAAAGCTTCGTCCTCCAGTCCACCAACTTCTGCCTTGTCGCTCTCGCCACCTCGGGCCCATAATGCCTCTCCATGCACTGAATAAAATACCTGAGCCTCGTTTCCCTGCCCGGTCGGCCCATGACCAAGTCCTTCGTTACGACCTTGTAGAGAGCCATTAGGACATCTGCGCTCAGCCCTTGGTTCCATGGATTCGGCTGGTGGATCGCGTCACGGTCGCTGGACTCGCTGTACCTGGAGTCAAGGGTGTGCTGCACCGTGGACTGAATGTCCTGATCAGTGATACCGCCCATGCCGCGGGCAGCCTTGATGGCCTCGACTTCCTCCAGATAGCTGATGGACTGTTGCATCAGCCGGTATTTCTGTCTGTCGGAGAGGTGTTCAACGCTTGCGAACAGGGGTGCGATCTGCGCAACGACTGTGGCGCGCTTGTCACCCACGTTTCCATGGAGGCTCAACCGCTTCCGTTGGTCCTCCAAGGAAACCCTATCGGGGTCGAATGCCTCTTCGAATCTGGGAATGTCAAGGACTTTCCAGATGGTGGAGATTCTGATGCTCGGGTCGGCAATGATGGCCTTGGCATACTTTAGGTATACGTGGGTGCTGAACGGCGCGTGCTTGTCGCCGTCATCCATCTTGGGTGGCATTTTGGAATTCATCATTTTTTCCATTTTTTCCCTGAACACGGGACCGATCGCTCTCTTTTTCCAGGCATAGGCTTCCCAGATGCGACGCATCTTGAGAGCCACCTTGTGGTCATCACAAAGATAGGCAAGGTCTTCGAGAAGAGTGCGGTTAATAAAGCCTCTTCGTGCGAACTTCTTGAGGGCCCTGGGGAGGTGATGAACCCGGTTGAACGATCGGAGGATATGGAACATGCTGGTGAACAAAAGCGCATGATTGGTCGCTGGTTCGGACTCATATATGGCCATGGCAAGGCATGCGAGTTGGCTGTTGTCGAGGCCAACTTGGTATACCTCATGCTTGTGCCTGTACATTCTGGCCGTTAAAAACCTTCTCTTGAGACGATTTCGACTGGCCCAGTGAAAGAGCATCAGCGAGCACATATGAAAGTTACCCAAGTGCTCAATGGTCTCAGGTACCGTCTTAAAGGCATCGATGGCATCGCAAAGTAATTGCGTGTTCACTCCGTCCATCTGGGCCAACACTGAGAGCCAGTTGTATACTACCGGGCTTCCCATCCCCTCTGGACTGGAACCGAGTTGCAAAACGAGTTCAGTGGCTGCATCGAAAAGAATACTGTGCTTGTGTGGGGAAACGGCTTCCAAGGCGGCAGAAACCCAACGAACATGTAGACAGTTTCTCTGAGGATTCTCCCCTCTGGAACGGACGTTGAGCGCAAACAGGACGGAGTCGACGCAGCTGATAGACTTGGGATCGGGTGGAGGCCATTCCAGGTATAAATCTTGATTTGGGTCAATGTCGACTTCCTCCGTGACATCCCCGTGATATTTGACTTGGTCCAGATCGTTGTTATCGAAATCGCTTTCGTCGATATCTTCTTCATCAACGTTCGGCGTAGCTTTATCAGCCTCACTCAATTGACCCCCGTCAGGGCCTTCCCCAAGATCTGTGGTTCCTGGCGGCTGAGCAGCCCATGCGGTGAGAATTCGTTCGAGGACTGTCAAAATGCCTTCCATACCCTTCTTGATACCAGGTTGGGATACGGTGCGCATTCCCCAGTAGAAGAGGTAATACAAGTCGTTGCCAGGTTCGAGTTTGGACATCCACTCGAAGAATTGCCGCCAGAAGGCAGGTTCAACGGCGTCTGCGGTGAGAGTTTCGGAACTCCTGACACCATCAATAATGGTTTTCAGAAATACAGCTAACTGTGCCTGTGTCATGTTGTACAGCGCCGAATAATGGGTTTGCATCATCTCCTCATCTTCGCCCCATCTCTCCTGTATGGTTCGGATCAGCTCATGGGAGATGGCCCTAAGTTCTATGGCCGATATCTCGCCAAGAGCAATGTTGTGCTTGAGTTTGGCGCATATTCCACTGAACAGTTCCGCAAAGATTGCCAGGGGTTCTGTGGATGCCGCATGTAGACGATCTACGTCTTGTCGAAGATTTAAATACTGTGCTGACGGGGATTGTGGTTCCTCCACCAACATATCCTCTTCTGCTTCCTCTTCCCGGACGGCCTCTGGACCCGAGGTTTCCAGCTCAACGTCCCTCTCCAGGTTTTCCAATTCCTCAGGCATCGTTTGTCCCAAGGCTTCCGAAAATGACTGGAGGTCACCTCCTCTTCTCAGGGAACGTATGTTTATGGTTCCTGGGTCTTTGAACCATGTTGGTAGTTGAACCGCCGAAGGGTTGGTACTCTCTGGTTCTGTAGGCCTCGCATCCTCCGGTGGTTCTGACGTTGACCATTGTTCCATAAAAGCCTCTGGACTTATCCACTGATCTTTGGGCTTCTTATTCTTTTGATCAATTTCTGATTCTGGAACTGAGGTAAAGAAGCCTGAATCGTCAAAGACATCTGGTGCAGTTGTTGAATGATTGGTGTCCATTGAAGTCGCAGTCTTTAGGTCTACTGTGAACGACCTGTTGAGCGCTCCATGTAAGGATCCTTCTTCCCATGGGAGCTTCTGCTGGGCCGAGTGCTGTGTATCCTCTGGGCCTTTCACATCAACTTTTGCCGGCCATTCTGGTGTAATTATTTGATAATCGGAGTGCTCCAAGGTGTCTGTATCTCGGGCTTTCGGGTCCCAAGTGAAATTACCGGTTTCATCAAAGATGTCAGATGCGGTAGTCGAGTGACTGTTGTTCTCCGAGTTTGCAACTTCCACGATCGGAGCTTCGGGGCTTTTTTGTGAAGGCCAGCCTTCAAATGGTGTATCGTTTTGGGACGAGTACTGTGTATCCTCGAAACTTTCTGTCTTCTCCTGCGCTGACCATGCATCACTACGTGGGATGTCGTCCCGAGCCGAGTCCTGTGTATCCTCGAAGCTTTCTGTGTCTTCTTGTGCTGTCAATGGCTCAACACATGGTATGTTATCCTCAGTCGAGTGCTGTGTATCCTCGAAGCTGTGTATTCCCTCCTCCATCGCGCACTGTTCCAGAAACTGTGGTGTTATCGGTTCATTTCTCGACTGTCTCAAGTCTTGATGCGCCGTCCAACCGCTTACAAAAAAGTCGGCATTATCGAGCAAATCGGTTGGCGCAGAATTATCGAACCCAATTGCCGTACGATCGAAGGCGACATGTTGGGCCGAAGCTGAAGATGGCGGCTCCCAATTCCACTGACTCAGGTCGACTGGGTAAGGGAAGGCCCATGGTGGTGGAGTGGGCGGACATTGTAAGGCATTGAGATCTCCGAGGTTCCGTTTCCCCAAACGGCGGCGGGCCTCGAGCGGACCGGGCACGCTCCCCACCGTCCTCCGTGTGGACTGGACAAAGCTGGCGAGATGTGGGAAGTCGGCGGCGGAGGCAACCCAACACGGAGGGCCGGTCGGGGGTGGGCTTCGGGGGATGGAGGGAATTCGCGGAGTTCGACTCAGCTGGAGCAGGCGGTAGCAGTGGGAAGTTTGTGGAGTCATGGGAGTGGACTTGGAGCGGAGGAGAGGAGCTTGACTCGCGTTCACGGGCGGCGGAGGGGTGGGTGGTCGGGGGATCCCAGCCTAGTGAGAGCCATCCGGCTTGTTGATTGAGGTGTCGAGATGATGTAGTGTATAGCAATTAAAGAGGTATATCATGACAGACAGACAGAGAGTGAATTGGTGTTGAGAAGAACATGTCGAGACCAGCAACGTACGAGCGACACAAGGAAGAGAACAGCTTAGCTTGGTAGCTCGAGACTTGTGAGAGATCCGTCGTGAGGGGGAAATGTGGATATCAACTTTTTAGTCTGACATTGCGGGCAGACAACGGCGCGGCACAGCTGAGCATCTCCAACGGAACTTACCTATCTAAGGAAGCAAGCTGTAGCGAGCTGTGCTGTATCTGTGGCTAATGGTACCTGCATTCCCGTCGTCTGAACTTGAGGGCAGTTGTGGCTTGGACGTACCTATTACTATAACCTACAGTTTGTCCTAAAGTCGTAGGCCACAAATTACCTGAGAAACCTAGAGGTAAGCGGGGGATTGACAGACTTCCAGGGACAAGAGGGGTAGATTTAGTGGAAGCTCGATCGTACCAGGGGTGCAATTGGCAGCAGATCGGCCCCGCAAAACGCCCAAGGGACCCCACTGAAATTCAGCAGCCGAGCTTCAACGCTGTGGGTGCGGTGATCCTCCACCAGTTCTGTTTTGGAATATCACAAGTCCATGGAAACATGGCGGGGGCTTCTCTCTGTCTCTTGTCCTTGTCCACTGCCTTGGTTGCCTGGTATCTTCACAACAAGTCAACAAACAAACACAAGATGGCTTTCCAATTTCCTCCTCTCAAGAATGACTTGCTGCTCAGGGCCGCCCGTGGTAAGTCTTTGGAAAATTTCAGACAAAAAAAAAAGAGTCATCTCATCTTTCACATGCAATCTCATTCACTAACACACCCATTTTCTCACACATAGGCGAGACCGTTGAGCGTCCCCCTATCTGGGTGATGCGCCAGGGTGAGATATCCTCACTCACATATTCTTACTCTCACCTCTAACACCTCACCTCTCATCCTCACAGCCGGCCGCTACCTCCCCGAGTACCATGAAGCCAAAGGCGGGCGTGACTTCTTTGAAGTCTGCCGCGACCCCGAGATCGCCTCGACCCTGACCCTCCAGCCCATTGAGCGCTACGCCGGCCTGATCGACGCCGCCATCATCTTCTCCGACATCCTCGTCATCCCCCAGGCCATGGGCATGACGGTCGAGATGGTCGACAAGAAGGGCCCCCACTTCCCCAACCCGCTGCGCTCGCCCAGCGACGGCCAGTACGCCGAGCTCATGGAGCGCGACGTCGACGTGGCCAAGGAGCTGGATTACGTCTACAAGGCCATCACCCTCACCCGCAAGAAGCTCGACGGCCGTGTCCCCCTGTTTGGATTCACCGGTGCCCCGTGGACGCTGCTGTGCTACATGGTTGAGGGCGGCGGTACTAAGCTGTTCAAGGAGGTCAAGACGTGGATCTACAAGTATCCCGAGGAGACCAAGGCTTTGTTGCAGAAGATCTCGGAGTTGTGCGTGGAGTACTTGGCTCTGCAGGTCAAGGCTGGCGCTCAGGTAATGCCCCCTCTTGTCTGGGTCTATCACTTTGGCCATTCAGTACTAACGACATCCAGATCGTCCAAGTCTTTGACTCCTGGGCCGGCGAGCTCTCCCCCTCCTCCTTCAAGACCTTCTCCCAGCCCTACCTGACCTACATCGCCAAGCACCTGCCGCTTCGCCTCAAGGAGATGGGTCTCGAGCCCGTCCCCATGGTTGTCTTCCCCAAGGGCGCATGGTACGCTCTCGACGCCGCCTGCGACATGGGCTACAATGTCGTCGGCCTGGACTGGCTGCACGACCCTGCCGAGGCCGTCAAGGTTGTTGGCGACAGGCCTATGGTCCTCCAGGGTAACGCTGACCCTGGTGTCCTCTACGGATCCCATGAGGCCATCACCAAGGTCGTCGAGGAGATGGTGCAGGGCTTTGATTGGCATGGCAGACACAAGGGCTGGATTGTCAATTTGGGCCATGGCATTACGCCGTTTGTTAACCCGGATGATCTCAAGTTCTTCTTTGAGGAGATTCATCGGTTGACTAAGACCAAGGCTTAGGTGCCTGGTTGTATGTACGTATAAAAACGGTGTTGATGATGTATGAAATTTAGATAGACATATATCCCCTCAATCAAATTTTCAAAGTAACCTGCTCAACGCTTACAACGCATCCCCAGCTGTAGCCAGATCCACCACGGCCCTATTTTCATGTCAGCAGCAACTCTCATAACGTCAAATTCCAGGGGGAAAAACGGGAATACTCACCAAGACAACAACCACCCAACCCGCCCACCAATACTCCTACAAACCCCCTGACTCCTATAATTCTCTAGGAAAACATCCGCAGCTCCCCACCCATCATCGCCATAATCCTTGACATGATCCCTCATGACTTTACAAGCCACCGCCTTCGCCAGTCCCTTTCCGCGGTATTGCTCCTGTTTTTGTTTTGTTCTTGTCAGCTCCCTCGTCCCTTTTTCTCTCCTTTTCTCTCTCCCTCCTCCCTCTCCCGTTCTTTCGTGAAAATGTAAGGGGAAAAGGAAAAAAGACAAACCTCAACATGCAACGTCATCAACGTCCCATCAAACGCCATGAACCCCCACGCCACCATCCTCCCCTCTCCATCCCGTACCGCCACACTAGGAAGTCCCAAAAGCGTATCCTCCTGCCTTTTAATACTCGTCCGGCTCTGCACCAACCTTACATCCTCCTTCGTCCTAACCCGATCCCACACCAGCCCCTCTTTTTCCATCGTTGTTTCCAACTCCCCCTCCCTCTCCTTCTCCGACGACGGCGACGACGACACCAACGCTTCCGTCCGAAACAACCACTTCTGACACACCTCCCACTCAATCTCCTCAGGGATATTCGCCGTCTTGTGCATGTGGACCCGTCCCTGATCCAAAAACAATCGATGGCGATGGATCTCCGCCAAACTACCAATCATCACCTTGGGACCCGGACCTCCCGCGGCAGCGTCCATACAAAGATACGCCCTCGCCTCAGTCCAGTTCTTTTGTCTCTGCTCACTTGCCTTCTCTAGAACCAAAGGCATCTGCAAAGCAATGGTGCGCATCCTTCTCAAGAGGGCTAACATGAGCTCATCGCACTCTTGAGCTTCTTCCTCCGGTAACGAATGGGATTGTGACTGGGAGCCAAACACTCCCCATGTTGTCGACCCATCCATGGTCGTACCCGTCCCCGGATCAAAAAAACAATGATCCTCCATCGTAGAATAAACCCACGCCTGCGTCTCCGGAAACCGACTCAAGTCCACAAACGCCGCAGCAAAATGCTGCCGCCTCCTTTTTCTTTTTCTTTTTCCTTTTCCATCCGCTGCTGCCGCTTGCCCACTTTTTCCATCCACTTCATCTTCATCTTCAGCTTGTTGATCATCCGCTTCAGCTACAGCTACAGCTTCAGATTCAGATTCAGATTCAAAAGACTGGACAAGATCCTCGAGGGAGTGCCTAGAAGCAAATAAAACATGGCTGTAGGGAGTCGTGCCCAGTCCGTTGTTGTTGTTGTTGTTGTTGTCTGAAAAATTGGCGGCGTATTGAAGACGGCGGAGAACGGGGAGGGAGTAAGGGAGGTGGTTGGATAAGAGATTCAAGAGGGAGGGAGAGGGGAGGGGGGTGTCGAGGAGGTGGAAGTAGGGGGCGGAGGGTTCTGTCATTTTTTTTTTTTTTTTTTTTTGTTGGTGGTGGTTGTGGTGGTGGCTGGGGGTGATGGTTGTGGTTGCAGTGAGGAGGAGTGTTGTCGAGATATTTTGCGTAGAAACGAAAAAAGCCGTAGGTTCTGGTGAAAATTTTCGAAAAACGGATATTTAGCCGAGACAGGGAGGATTCAAATCCTGGCGGCTTTCCGAGGACAGATGAGAGACTGAAGACCGTCTGTTCCCTGAGTAAACTCGCGTGGAATTGAAGGAACAAACAAAGTGAAGAATCGATGTTTTGATGCAAAATGTAGTTTGTTGTCGTCAAGTCGCATCAAGATCCCTCGGAATAGTCATATAAGTGGGCCAATCAGATTATCAAAGACAGCAACACCAATAACATCGACGAGTGATACGGACAATACGCGGATATAGGCAAGTAGCTGTTTGGTATCTCTGCTCCGAAATGTAGACATGAAACCAAATCTCACGCAAATGACTCATCACTCAACTCATGGCTTCCGAGAAAGAAGTCATGTTCAGTCGACACATCATCAGCCAGAAAAAGACTATAACATTGAAATCGCAAAAGTCCAGCGGGCAAAACAAAGTAGAGATAAATCAGGATAACTTTTGGAAATCCTTCTCTTTCTTTCCTTGCCTGTTTTAATATCAAGGCTTCTTTCTGGCCCATGCCGTGCTGTGTTCAACACATCCGTACATCCGTCAAAAAACACCCCCATCCAAAATGCTAATGTTGAAAAAGGAGAGCCCCAACCTGTCATCATGGCCTATACCCAATCCATCGCAACCCCGTGTAGAGAGGTGAATATCCCTTAACGCCAAAACCCCTGGGTATGAACAATGTGATGAAACAAAGAAAAATCCCACTTTCCGTGAACCTGCCGACATCGGTAGACGTTGGCGATTCGGAGAGGACGCCGAAAAGGGGGTCGCGGAGCATCGTAACAGCAGCCCATCATCAGCTCAGCTTGCCGTCCAGTCATGAGTCCATGATCACCGCTGTTGCGCCCCAACAAGCCCCTCCAGTTGTATCCCCCTCTTCGACCGCACCACAACCCAACCCGCCTTACGACGAACTATTCCCACTCTTCCTCTCCGCACTCCCCTCCCTCTTCTCCTCCTTCTTGTCTGTCTTGTCCTTCTTTCCAAACAAGAAATTCCTCCCCTTCTCGGCCCACCCCAGGTCCGACGATTCGCTCTTCTCATTCTTCTTGTGACCATGACCAGCTTGTCTCTCGCGCTCGGCCTCTTTTTCCTTTTCCTTTTCCTTCTCTTTCTCCTTGTTCTCCTTGTGACTACCACCATTATGTGTCCTCGAAGGGTGCAGCAGGTTGTGCAGATGCAGGTGGTTCTCATCTTCCTTGTCGATGGCGGTGGCTCCCGAGTGGCCAGCCTTCTGGGCTTCGCGAGCAGCTTGCGCGTCTTCGGCCGTGAATACGTTTCCGGTGCCGCCGCGGCCAATGTGGGTGGCGCCGAAGGAGTCGCGGCGGACGACACTGTGTTACTGTGTTAGCAACAAATTGCTGAGGTGGGGGAGATGGATAGGGAACGATAAAACGTACGGCTCAACGTCTTGCCTCCTCCTCGTCTCAACGGGGTCCGAGTTCTTTGCCATGTTACCGTTGCCGCCGCGGCCGGTCGTCACCATGGCTGTCTTGAGAGTGGGTGTTTGTAGGTCTTCGGGCTGGATGCGGGGGGACTTGGAGCTGTCGACGATGTTGCCGGCGCCGCCGCGGCCTGATGATTGCATGTGGGCTGTCATTGTGGTTGTCGATTGTGTTATTTGTGATATTAATTGCCAAAGTTGAGTGGTTGGGTTAGAGTTTGGACGACACAGGAGACGATCGCGCCTTGGACACTGTCTCTGACGTAGAAGAGCCTGTGGGCCAGTCGGGTTGTTTGTTGTATGTATGTAGATCGTCACGAGGAGGGTTGACGATTGGAGGTGGTGGTTGAAAGGTTTGCGCCAGTGTGGCTGATGTCGTTATGACTTGAGATCGCAAATGGTAAAAATGGATGTAAATGAAGAAGCCCCAACTCTGGGAATAAGATGAGTCTTATATTCGAGTGACTTTTCCTTGTTCCTGTTTTCTTCTGATTCAAGACTCTTGGATCGTCGTTTTCGGTTTCTTGTCACTGCACTGAGATGGATGGCGGGGCCTGGGAGGGGTGGGCAAAACCCTTTCTTTTCAAGTAGCTCAGCCCAGCGGACAGGCTGGGGGCATACGGCACTGCACTGCACTGCACCTACTGCATCTCAGGGCACCGCATGACCAAAACCCGACGTGCTGTCGACAAGAACCAGGCACCTCTGGCCACGGCACAACAAGGATCTTGCTTCCTCTTTGGCCACTGAAAAAAGGTCGATCACAAGGGCCCGAAAAGATTTTTTTTTTTTTTTTTTTCATCCTCTGTTGAAGAGAAAATTTCAAGGGTCTCGTCCGTCTGGGCGTTGACATCACACGCACAGCCTCAAGGAAAGAAAAAAAAGAAAAAAAGAAAAAAGTCCCAAAACAACACTCGACAGGCAATCCCAGCGGCAGGGGAAATCTTCTTGATGGGACATGGGATGAGAAACAAACCCCCAACCCAAAAGACTCTGCAACAAACCATTCCAGGGCGGAGAACACAGACGGGAGCAGGCGAGAGCCATCAGCCAAGAAGATGACACCATCCAGCAGATGATGTGCTCCGTCCAACGAAAGAGATTCCTGTTACGTACACGAGCATGACTTGATGGGTTGGTGTTGATCGATGGGGTGGGTAGCTGGGCAGTCCAGTACATAGCTTGGGATTCGCCGACTGGTGCGCCGGTAAGTGATGTTGTGATCTTGATAAGAGCGAGGAATCGATCAATGTTCTCGTTGACATAGGATTCGAAATGAAGTCGTCATCACAAGGAACCCGCGTACGGGCAGGAAAGGCCATGTTGATAGTGGTACCGAAAGGAACCTGGCGGGGCCGGACCCAGCCGAGTAAACCCCGGCGACGGAGACCACCGCTTGGGCCGATATTGTGCGGCACAGGGTCCGCGAGCTCCTGGCTTTTCCGGGTTGGAAATGCGATTTCAGCCCGACGGTCGACTCGTCTCATGACAACATTTCGTCACAATTCATGATGAGACTAAGATTCACCGTGTTGGATCCGGTTCCTGAATGAACCTGACTCCTGTTCCTGTCTTGTGACTGTTTGGGACGGGCGATCCCCGACCTTGATATTCAACCACATGGATTTACCCGATATACCCTTATTTCTGGGGATACATACAGAACGCCAGACAGATGAGATCCCGTGCCTCAACCACCGTTTCAAATGATAGGACGACCATGCTTCCCACCTTCTTATTCTATCTTATTCTTTTGTTTTTTTTTTCTTGATGCGATGAGATTTCGCACATAGGGCCTTACTCCGTACCTAGATCTCCTGTTTGGATAGTCATTACCAAACAAACTGAACAGCAACAACAACAACAACGACTCACTCAAGCATTGTTTGTGCCTGTCGAGATATATCTCAGTGACGTATGCCACGGCGGCTTTTTGCCATGCTTTCTTTTATCTCGTTGATCTCCCGAAATCTCAAAATGTGCCACTATCTAACATTCTAGCCGATCTCGCTTTTAGACATCTACACTAGGACATGTGGCCAAGAGCTTTATCTCGTTGATCTATCAAACCTACGTACCTACCTAACGAAGATCTACTCTAATAAGAAAATGTCATGGAATCAATTCCTCACACAAGAACAACAACACCCCAGACCTCTCTTATCAGAAACTTGAACTGTGTCCGGTGAGATTACTTGGCAGTGGAGCAAAAAATAAATGGTAATGACAATGATAATTAAATGTTTGACTGTCACCGCAGGCTTTGAACAGCTTCGGCGCAGATTGCTCCTCCTCGGACAAATAACCGCCTCGGTCTCTTTCCGGCGATGATCCGGCGGCGATCTAGTACCTACTGCACCGATCCGGTCGCAACCCGGGAAAAGTGGAGAACAACGGCATAGTGGAGTGCCCGGCATAGCAATATCTACACCTCTGTCGGCATATAATTCGTTAGCGTGGTACCGCCACTTACAATATTCAGGGCATTGGAGGTGAGCAAAGTGGGCATCTTTTGTAAGGAGAATCAAGTTATTGCCACTACCTCAATTCACCGCGCTAACGGTTTAAATGCCGGAGGAGGTGTAGGCAGCCGGGGTCGGAGCTAGCTCCACTAAAACAGCCGGCCGGGTGGGACCAAGTCGAACTGTAACTTGGTCCGTTACGGCTTCAGTACAGCGGTCATTTTTTTCGGGGTTTCCTTCTCTCTCTCTTTTTTTTTTTTTTTTTTTTTTTTTTTTTTTTTTTTTTTTTTTTTTTTATCTTCCAGCTTCAGCTTCATCGTCCATACCCCCAGGTCGTTCGTTTCCGCTCCAGATGCACCTCCGAAAATTGACTGTGACAGCAACGAGTTCAGTGTGTCAAAAAAAGAAAGGTGAATGGGACAGATACGATATTGGACGAGGTATCTCGGTTATCCTTTTCTTTGGGATCTCATAATACGAGCTACATGTTAGACATATAGAAGAGTCACGGTGGAATTGCGGACGTTAAAAAAAAAAAAAAAAAAAAAACCCGGGAGAAGAGCGGAAACGGGTGTATCCAATATTTGTTCCATCTGTTCCATCTGTTCCATTTGTCCCATCTTATCTCTTTCTTTTTTTTTTTCCTTTTTTCCCGTCATTCCAATATTCAATTCCTTCACGGTCTCCTAGACAGTCATAAACATCTATCATAGTCCAGTGCTCTACACGGTCTCGTACAGTTCATTTACACGCAACCAATCTCCTCCCATCGATTCATTCTCAATTGCCCAAACATTGGACAGGTCTCTACACTAGTGTAGGCAGCATGTCATCTCACCTATCGGGCACCTCTCACCTCTGGCCTGGATAATGACTCTTCGGGGCAACAGTAGTAACCTCACACCTCTTTACACGACATAATCACCTACCTAGGTAAGGTAACTAGGTAGCTCTCCTTGCAAGAATCAGAATGTTGCAGTCCACTTATGTAATCGTCTGACATCATTCAATTTCATCATTACATCTACCCTGAACAATGCGTAACTACACTACCTACCTTGGGTAACTTGCGTTTATGAAGTACCGTTATGGTTTAGTTTAGTTTAGTTCGGTTTGGTTCAGTCCAGCTCGAAATGAAATGACGGATGGAAGAATGGATTGATTGATTATGTAATGTAGTGTAGTTTAGTGAAGCGCAGTGTAGTGTATGTGGTGTAGCAGAAACATAATAAGAGAGAGTCCTTGTATGGAGTGGAGTGGTGATAATTTTTTTTAGATTTTCTTGTTGGTTTCTTCGTTCTGTGTTGGTCAGGAACTAAAGGGGGCCACGGCCGATACGTGTGTGTGTGGTAGGGTCAGTGCATTCTATATATAATGTCAAGCAATAAATTAGTGAGGAAGTAAGTAAACCGACAATGTTGAGAACAAAGGTAAGAACAAGAAGGCAAAGAAGAACAACTTAGGGAAGGCAAAGAAGAACCGACATTGGCTAGGTACCTGTACCTAAAACCAGAACTAGAACTAGACTACAAAACACAACTAGTAAGTAGATAGATAGATAGGGCAGAAAAAAAAAGGAACAAAAAGAGCCACCTGCGCCTCCCTCTCTCCCTCTCTTTCTCTGTGTAAGCCAGATATTTCGCGAAACAAAGAAAGATCAAAATAATAAAAGGTTACGAAGTTATGATGTATGTACAAAAACGTCCCCTGTTTGGCGTGATGTTGTGAAAGTGAGTTCTAGCACACAATACGATGAGGAAAGCAAAGAACGGAAAAAAATAAATTAAAAAATAGTATCCATCCGCTACCTGTTCAAATCCATTCCATCCCAGTCCAGTCCTTTTTCGCATACTCCAAGTCCTAAAAAACCCATGGTAGAATCATGCCTTTCGTATCTCCTGTCCTGTTCAACATATTCTTCAGATCAAGATATCTTCAGAGGAAGGGCACCGCTTCGTAGCTGATAATTATACGTAACATCATGAATGTTCGTAAATCCCCGAAGCCTCGTTCATCTTCGTGCTCCTGGTGTCATCTTGTCCTGTCCTGTCCCTTCTCTCCCTTCACAGTAACTCCCAAACTCGTCGTATCTGATCGTGATTCGTCGAGGTTGGGCCGGACGGTAGCGGACGGCAGCTTTGACAAAGTGACTGGCAGTGTGGGTCGAGCATCCAATATTCCCGTCAACGTTGGACCGTTTATCCACACCCTGCTCGGTGCCCCCTTTCAAAATGGCCATCTCATTTCTGACAAGCTAGACCATATCCAAAACTACCACCTTAATAATCATCATCATCCTCATTATTCTTACTATTCGCCCCCTCCTTTCTGATGGGTATCTTGATACCCTGCGTCGCAAAACACTTGCTGAGTGCCGTGCTGTCGCACACTCCCGGGAACTTCTTGGCGCTAAAGACCTGGAACGGCTCGCTGAAGACGGAAGCGAGGATCGGAGCCTTGGATTGGTTGATGCCCGTGCCGGAGCCGGATGACCCTGAAGGAAGGGGCGTGGGGAGGCCAACGTTTACGAAGGAGAATTGGAGCCTATTTGGGGTTGTGTCAGTTCTGATCCGGCTGGAGAGGGGATGTGGTAAGACGGAAAAGAATATATGGGGGGACGAAGGGGTGAGAAGCAAGCACAGGAATACACACCTAAAAACACCCTCAGTCCTCACACTCAAGTCCTGCATCACGAACCAAATCCCAATCTTATCGTTTGTATCTGTCAGCCTGAAGGCGCTGCACACCAGGCTTCCAATCAGGTTCCTCGTGAACATGCCCTGAGGCTGCTGTCCGCCCTGACCACTAGTACTGCTGACCGACATCCTGTGCTGCAGAGGTCCGCCTACACCACCGTGCATGCCGCCATACTGAGTTGGGTGGTCGTAAGGACCTCGCGGGGCGCCGTAAGGCCCGGGCTGGGGTGGAAGTGGTTGGTTGTATTGGTAGTGCGAGGGGGCGGGGGCGCCGTAGGGGTTACCGTTTACAAAGCCAGCTGGTGTCATTGTTAGCATACACTGTGAAATCTCGCGGAATTAGAGGCCGCATACCGTGGTAAGGACTTGTCTGCATATCATACGGATTCATGCCCGGGTTCCCTTGGTACGGCATCCCTTGGTGATGCCCATAGCCCACATCTCGATTCGACGGCAGAATATGCGAATAAGCGGGCGTCGTTTGCTCGAGAGAGGCGTACGAAGCTGGGGTGGTAGACGAGATGGAGGGCGTTGAGGTCGTGTGTCGGACGAGGTTTACTTCCTTTAGGGCGTCTTCTGTGTATAGGCTGACGTTGCAGATGAACATTGAGTATTCGATTTCACTGTAACATCCATGTCAGTCACATTCAGCTCTAGTGGTTCAGGGACAACAGTTACTGACTTGCAATCAATCTCTTTCCCGGTTTTCGCATCTCTAATAACCAGCTTAACACAAGGAGGGGGCGTGATGGGTCTTCGATCCTGTCATTCCATGTCATCTGTAAGCCACCGATCAATCCGTTTGTTCTAGAGCGAAACACAAGGCAACAGGCTACACTGGTTGGAGGGACCGAATGTGTGAGTGCCCATGTGCGATGTGCCAGCAGCCAGCAGCAGCAGCCAGACATAAGCAAGCCATCCATACCTTATCACCAAAACCACACATTCGTGCACGTTGTGGTTGTTGCACAACTTCGAGCCTATGGCATGGGATGAGACCGGGTTAGCCCTGCTGTCTTTTCTGTCTCTTGTCTCTTGGCTCCCTCTCCTCCGTCTCTGCCACCGCCGATCGCAAACGGGGAGATCGCCGGAACCAAGGGTTGTGCGTAGGTCAAAACTCACGAATACATCCTCCCCTGACTGTCGGTCCCCGAGTATGGCTTCAAGTTTTGCTCCTGCTGCATCCTTTCCTCGGCCGTCAAGGGCGCTCGTTCGTGTAGCTGCTGGTGGGATGGCGGGGTTGATTGTAATTGGCCGGCGTGGCCGCTTCCATCGCCGTGACTGGAACCACCCGGGCCGGGGGGAGCATGAGGAGGAACCGACGACGCGGAGCCGGACATGGTGGGATCTTGGTATGGGTTTGTATGGTGCGGCGGTGGCGCGCTGGGAGGGGCCATGGAGGGGAGCTGGTGTTGCTGCTGCAATTGGTGATGACGCGGGGGATATGGAGTCGCGTGAGGATCGTGGTGATAGCCGTGGTCGGGCGGCAGCTGGTGCGGTAGGTTTGAAGTGTACGGCTGCATCTTTTTGGTCTGTTCCCTTTTGTTTTCTGTTTCCAATCTGGCTATAATGATCTAGAGCTATCTGTTGCTTCTTGTCGCTAGGTCGGTAGGTAGGTGGGTAGGTGGGTAGGTGGGTAGGTAATACCGGCGCGCGATTGATGATCCCCTGGAAGCTGGAGCGGACTCGAGTCCGGTTCTAGGGACTAAAAGTCGGAGGGGTCTTTTTTGTCTTTGTTTCTGGACTTGTACCAAGAGAAGCTGAACCACGGTTGATATTGCGGGCGCAGGGGAAGTGGGCGTACAAGAGCTTTTGTTGTTTCCTTCTTCCAAACAAGACAGTACAAAGTGCTGACGACAGATCTTGGGGAAGGGCAAGCAAGCAAGGACAGGTACACAATGTGATGGCTTAAGTTGTCAGGAAGTTCAGGAACCCTGGAGCTGGAGCTGTCGCGGTACCTCTCTGATGGGTTGGAGATGGGTTTTTGTGGAGAGCCGCGAGTGGTGGATGAGGGGCGGGTTCAAGTTCGGTCAGTGGCACCGAAGGAACGGCAGCCGCGTGGGGCACCTTAGCAGCGAGACAGTCCAGTCCAGTCCAGGCTGACGGGAGTCGGGAATGCAGTATGTAACGGGAGGGGAGGGTCATGGAATGCTGGATGATAGGTGATTTGGCAGAGTCAGGCCAGCTTGAACTTGTAGTGAGATGACGATGACGAAGGCGATTGGGTTGGGTCCGAGAACAGTTTGTCGACTTTTTCCAAGGCGGGTTTGACTTGAAAGAGAGAGGAGCAAGTGAGGCATGTGTTATTTGCGCCTCGTGAATATGCCTTGATGTGGTTACATACTTTGAAGCAACTTGGTGAGAAAAGAAGAAACTGGACCTCGGTTTGTCAATTCACTTCTCGTCAATGGCCTTGCCCACTACCCTTGAACCCCCCCGCGAGGCCGTGTCGTGTGTCTGTCTGTGTGCTCGAGACGTTAAGACGTGTAGTCCCTTGACTTGGGTAGCCAGGTGAGGTACCAGGCAGGTGTGTGAGAACTGCCCTGTCCACCCTGTGAACTGCGAGGTTGCTTCCCCAGAATGGCAGGTACTAGTAGCTGGCCAGGGTCTCCTAGTGGTGCAAAAACGTAAGGCCTGCCCTGGTGCGTGTGGAGCTCTTCAGTTCTCACAAGCTTTTGGGGTCGCTCTCAAGTTCAGTTCCAGTATTGCCTCCGGGCCTTCTCATTGGGCGGTTTTGCGCACCTCGTAGTTGTACCTACCTTTGGAGGTACATACTGCCCTGTATGCTACACTCTGTTGAAGCTGCACCGTCCATGCAATTGGATTTTAGAGTCTCCGACACGCACTCAGCCGCCCTGGTTCTACACTACCTACCTAGACGGCACTTGGTGTTTGTGCAGCTGTTGAACACAGGCACTGAAGCCCTCTACTGTGTAGGCAGGAAGGGATACCGCTGCCTGTCCGTTTTATAGGTAGGTAGGTATCTCGCTGTTGTGGCTATGAAGTCTACTGTACCCCTGTCTGACGTTGTAGCGGTTTGGGTACCTGTCCAGACGACGAGAAATCAAATGTTGACAAGCAGTCAAGTGAAGTCCGCTGCCGGGCTCCTGGCCACTGCCGTCGGCTATGTGAATCATACTGTGCAAATGCCCGTTCGTCAGACGTGAGTCCAAGTTAGCTCATCAGCCGCAGGGAGAGTTGATTCCCAATCTCACGTCAAGTTTAAACGTACCTGTCAGCGTGTTGTTCGTTCCTGGAAATGCAATGCCCAATTGTTGTATCTGGCAGCTATTGCGGGTCATTTGTATGATAGATCCTGTATAGAGTTCTATAATTGTCGTATAGTTCCCAAACCTATAGCTCGTTGACGCCCGCAAACGAATGCCACTAGAGCTCAAAACGGCTACTCGGCCACCGGCGTATCATGATCATGTCCCGTCATGGCGACCACCAGGCAAGGAGCCTTGTTTAAATATCAGGCGACCATGTTGTCGCAACATGCTCACGAACACTTGCGAAAGATCAAGGAGCACAAGCATCTTGGTCCCGGGTGTGATCAAGAAAAGCAACGCTCCGTAGCATCCATGTGTGTTGGTGCAGTCTAGGTATACCTGAAGGGTTTGCATGGAGATGAGAGGTGGCTGATCCTTCATTCGGGACCCGGAATTGCGACTGTCACCTCACCCAAGTAGCGGCGCTTCATCTGTCATGCTCAAGCTGTGGCCCGGGACTATGTATGTAGAAAGCAGCAGCCATTTCGGATTTCAGCTCGTCCTGTTTTGTGCTATGGTAGCAGCAGTGAACAGCCAGCAACCGGACATGGGGGTGGGTGGTGTGCGTGAGACGGGATCCAGACGGGATACCTCACCGGACTGCCCTACAACCCAGAGAAAGCGTACTACAGCAGAATGTAACAATCGCACAACTTGTATAGGCTAGGTACGACCACTGGGCCGTTACCGGGCGTCCATCAGCAATGACAAGCCTCCCCCAACCGCTAATGCTGTGATCGGCTTAAATTTTTCAATGAAAAGTTAGGAATATTTCGTTACATGCAGCCAAGCAGAATGGGTGGATATAACACGATTGTACCGCTTTAGCGCTGTATTAGTGTGGCGATGACTGTTTATGGTCTAGTTAGCCAAGACCTGTTTACCGCCCTGTAAATGTCGTTTGAAAAATAAGGTTAGATTCCGCCGAAGTCTAGAACCTGGCTGTATTCCGACTTATACGTAAAATACTAATTAAAATACGTTCTAATTCGAAAAGATGAATATCTAAGACGAATATTTGACCCCTTTAAACGGTTCGAATACTTTACTATTATCGTTATTACTAAATAGTAAAGGTGAGGAGTAATAGAGTGGACTAAATAACCCGCTCTTACCCCTATTAGAGGATATTTTTAAACCGCTTAGTAACTATAACTAGCCGCTAGCCTTCCTTACCCTCGATTTCGATAGTCAATTTATTTATCCGGCCGACTATAGTTAAATCGATAATACCTAACCTTCTTAATTGTATCTACTTAATGATAGTCAATTAATTAAAATTTATAACGATATTGTAACGGCTTCCTTAAATAATACCTAACTAATTCGAAATATTATTTAAAATAGAGAATTATCCCGAAATATACCCCCCCCTCTCTTAAAGAGGAAGCGAGTATCCTTTAATGATTTGGGGTGGTACATGGGAACATATACATTGGTTTTCAGCAGTGATTTTTTTCAAAAATTTTCAAAGTATACAGGATTAGGGAAGTACTTTCTAGATTGAGCAAACCTGGACAGTTAGTGTGGAAAAAGAATGAAAAAAAAAAAAAAAAAAAAAAAAAAAAAAAAAAAAAGAAGGAGATTGAACATGAGGAAACAGGATAGGAAATTAATAGAATATTAACCTTTCATTAAGCTAAATAATCAATTTCTAACTCTTTAGCAAATTTTTAATTATACAAGATTAATTTTTAATAGTCGTTAATTATTTATCTTTATTTGCTTAGTATACTAAATAATCCTTTATCCTTCTTAGGAAAATATTTATTTATATCCCTATTTATATCCGAAAGGAAAGATATAGAAAGATCTAATAATTACCCTCGTTTTCCGGCGAAAACTAAACATTAAACCATTCAACAAATGCGTAATTCCAATAAATCGTATCTAATTTAATACTTCCTATTTCGACTATCCGAAAAGACTTGAAAATTATCTATTATTCTACTTAATTAAATAATTAAGAATTATAGTCCTTATATATTGTGCTGGTCGTAGTAGTATTAGTATTATTATAGTTTTCTCGCCATTTTAAATTGGTAATAAGGATGAAATAGGTATTAAAATTCTATACTAAATTAGCTAAAACGAATATAGGGAATTTACAATTTCCTATCCTCGTTAAAGTTTACCCGATATTTATTAATAATATTTAATTAATCGTTACGAAAAGGCTTAAATAGCCTTATTTTAAAAAAAAATAAAGATCCTTAGTACTGGATGCTTGCTACGGTCCGGGGCCCTCGATAGTAGCCGACATACAGCTACATTAGTAGCCGTACTACGACTGGCGATAATATAATTAATTAATAATCACCCGACTACTATTTGGATATAACGTTGGAGTACGAATAATAGTATAATTAATTAATAAGAAAGATATATAAACGAATATCTAAGTAATAATAATTAAATATAAGTAAATATAAACGATAAATAAATTACTAAATAGTAGTAGTTCGACTGTATAACCCGATAGATAAACGAATACCTAATTAATAGTGCCTAAATGATAATAAGAATAGACGATTAATAGGCTATTTGAATAGTAATTTAGTTGAAAGATTATTTAAGAATAATAAGTAACGAAAGAATTTGTTAATAATTAGGGTAAGTATTAGTATTAGGTTTTTAAGGACCGCTATCTTTAAATTAGTAGTATATAACCCCTGCCTAAGTGTAGAAAGATTAGACGGCCCTTGGACCCTTTTCCTTGAAAATTTGTAATTAATTCCCTAAAGGGAAGGGTACTAGCTATTATTTCCGAATTCCTCCTTCGTAGAATATATTAACTATTATTATTAATAGATTCTTGGGATTGTAATTATTACTATTATTATATTTTAGAGAACCGAAAGGAAGTAATTAATTACTATAAATCCTTATTAGAAGGGCTTTAATAACGATATTACTAATATAAATAAGAATTACCTCTTATTAATACCGATAATAGAAGTAGTGAGAAGGAAAAGAATAGAAAATAAAAATTAAAGAAATTCCTTTTATTTAAGAAAAGAAAGAAAAAAAGGATATTAGAAGGACAAAAAAAGGAACGTTAATAAAATATTTCTAATTAAAAAAGGTATATAAATACTTTATTAGAAGAAAAATAGTTAAAAAAGGAATAAAGATCTTTAATTAAAAAAAAAAAAAAAAGGGGGGGTAGGACGAAAGATAAAACGAAAATAAGTATATAAATAGTATAAATAATATTAATAAAATCTAGAATAACCGGAATATTTTTATAATCTTAATTTCGGATACTAATTAAGGAGTATTAAATTAGTTTCCTATATCGGTACTAGAATTATTTTTATTATTTCTCCCGAATCCTACTCTTCCTTCCTCTATTCCTATGTTAAAAACTACCTTTTTTCCTTTTTTAAAATTTAATTAATTTTTAACGCTTTTACTTATCTTATTAAAAAATTTATCGCTAA